GTGATCAAGGAGCACAATATCTTGCAAATGCTCTAAAAATCAACGAGGTAACAACAATACTTGTTCTTGTTTTTCTTCATTCTACTTCATAATTCACACTCTTTTCACACAGACACTCACGACACTCGAAGTCGGACTCAATGAAATTGGTGCTAAAGGAGCACAATATCTTGACAATGCCCTACAAATCAGCAATGTAACACTAATACATTTTTTCTTTGTTTTTATCTCACTTCATCGTTCATACATTTTATACAGACACTCACCACGCTGAACCACGATTACAATGAAAGTGGTGATGATCCAAAGAAAGGCGTTCCGAAATATGCGAAGAAGGTAATTGACTGGTTTCGTCGCGTGCGGGAAGATCATGATTAACGATAGCAAAAACAAATAGGAATGATTTTTATTTTTAATGTTTGTAAAATTAGACAATGACTCTATAAATATATTTGTTATCATGTAGGAAAAGACATTGTTGTTTTTTTTTATTAGTTAGTGAAGGATACGAAAATGTAAGCATCTTTCGATGTGTGGCGTGCCAAGGTTGATCGATGAGAACAAAGTGGAAGTTGTTGAAAGATTGTTATTGTGAGATTTGAGCAGAACAAGCATCTGTCCATTGGCCGACTGTTAATGACCATATGTAGGTGAAGATATACCTGCTTCTAACTGCATCAAGAACCATCTGAGATTGTTTTCGTTTTATTTTGAAACGCTAAAAAGATACTAGTGAAATGAAAATGAAGTTTGAAGGGTACATGCTTGTAGTATATTAGTAACAAGTTATCAGTACACCAGTGACTGTTTGTTCCAAATAAAAAAAACTTATGTGGTTTTTATATATAGAATATTGATTAGCCATTGGTTTCTGAAGAGTTTAGAGTTTATACACGTATATTTTTGAATTGATTTAACTTTCGAGCGACTGAACTATTGTGTCCGTTTAATATTGAGGACTGTATGTTTGTATTGCAATATTTTGGAAAGTATACGTTAGTTTCCGACAAGTTCTCTAGTTACTCATGTCTACTAGATTAATCCTTACACAGATTGCATATCTAAACTGCTGGTTTGGAATGATTTTATTAGAAAAGTAATATTTGGAGTACAAATTTAAGCAAACTAATAAAACTCCTCACTCATGTGTCGTAAACATGAGCAGATATGAAGTTTTCTTTTTCTGAAGAATAGTTTAATTAAAATGAAAAGAGAAAGCTAAACATTTGAAAATGATAAATATCCTCTCTTCATGCCATGCAGCTCTTAGTACTATAATCCCAGTGAACACGATTTTTAATTTTACTTTGAATAAAACTGAACATTTAGTTCTCCATACAAACAACTTGACTCATATTTTAATACATCCTTGGTTATTATTGTACACATAATGAATTATTTTATCTTGGGTGAGTCTTACAATACTTTACATATATAACAGAGCTTCGATTTTTATAGGCTGAGAAGTATATAGACAAACTGTTGTGTTCTCTTTGTCTTTTAAACGAATAAGGCATGAATACTATAAATAATTCTCAATTCGATAAAAATTTTAGTTTATTTGATTAAAGTTTAATTGAAGAGGAATTGGTAATATATACATATTCATGAATATTTGATTTTATTATGATGCATTTAAAAAGCACTGTGAGAATTTCTGTACAAGATTGAATGGTGCTTCGTTTTTTGTAGTATCATGTGTGAGGTTGCTTAATCATGATGAAAAATATAAAAGTCGAGGTGCATTCGTACATCTACAAGACTGTTACTTCTTTCAACAAGAGCATTATTATTTTAAGTCAAAGAATAAAAAACCATTACAGTAAAGAGTAAAAGTCGATACGAAAATGACACTTATAAATATTTAAATATCTTAATAAGTATAATAAATACATGTATTCACAATTTACAAAGAAGAACCTATCGTGATGATTTTATTTGGTATATTTATATTTTTGGTGGAATTCCATCAATATTTTATTCAATCGATATTGTAGCTGCTTCATTTACTAAAGGAATTAAAAAAGATTTTATGTCATTCGACAACACCAGTTTTATGAATGACATATAATATTCAATGCACATCTGTTGATAGAAACTTAAAATTAATATCATACAATCTATTTTATTATTATTTTCTCATAATATTAACAATTATACTTCGTCAAAAAATTCATCAAAATCATTCTGCATTACTACACACCCTTTTATTTTGTGCCGTAGCAAAACAGATGAAAAATTTTGATGGTTTTTTGAAGAAGTATGATTGATAATATCATTCACATTAACTTCATCACGACATATATAAATATAGTTTAAATCAAATATGATGTAAAATTTTGAGAAGCTATTCATAATGGTCTCAGAATCTTTTGCGTCATCAGTACTAAGAACACTGTATTATTGTTCAGAGAAAATATGTTACGAGAAACGAACAGAACATTATGGGATTATCCTATAGCATGTTTTTTCCCAAAAAAAATTGCATTTCTGAATATGTCAACGCTATAATATAATATCAACAGATAAAGACTAATCGGTAATTGTGGGAGATGGGGTATTTCTACGTAATATGATGACAGCACACATAAAAATAGATTGTATCAAAAAGATTACAACGACTGGTTGTGTCATTTAGTGTAAACTATGCCGTGATTTCAACTCTTAATGTTCATATTTGCGTTTGTATTATTTATTGCCATACACACTCATTCGATACCAATCGAATAAGACAATGATTATGATTAGGGTGTGGGTGTCATGGCTTGATATATCTCTTGCCATAAAGAATAATAATTATCTTTCATTTCCTCACGTACTACTGATTTCGTTGAGTATTTAAGGAATGAATATTGTGGAAAAAAAGATGCGATAACAATATTGCTTTTCTATTCATTCGCCCTAAAATTAAATATAATATCGTCTCTTTGCAATCATGATTTGATTTTGAAGATAAATATCATTTGATCTATTTTCCCATTCTTACAATTCTTATCTCTTTGTTACTTTTTTCTTCCTTCAATTTGTAAATAACATGTAATAGTGGTATTGATAGTCATTTTTCTTCTTCTATTCATTGTTAAAGGTCAATTATTTATAGATAAGCGAAAATATGCACATTATTGACGTATCATTCATAAAAATCCTTCATCTATTTTTCTTTTATATTCTTTTTTAAATGAAAAAATGCTGTAGTTTTTAGAATGTTGAATAATCCACAATTACGTTTTCGTACGGTATTACTTAATATATTAGATCGTCTTAGTGTTAATGAAAGAAAGAAACTTTCATTTCTGCTAGCTGATGATATCGAACGAACAATACAAGATGATCCAACAATTGGTGGAACATTGAATATATTTCAACAATTATTTGATCGAGATAAAATTTCTAATGAAAATTTTTCTTATCTAATTGAAGCATTTCAAGCAATAAAATGTTATAAAGCAGCGACAAGTCTAACGAGTATGTAGTTATAATGACTTCAATTTATAGACAATTATCTATACGTCTTTATTTAGAATTTCAAAAAGATTTGTTAAAAAATCAATCACAGTTAAATATTGAGAATAATAACCGTACATTGACTACTCATAAACATATTGTTTCTTCAGATATATTGGAAGAATGTTTAAAAGATCTTGAGGAAGATACAGTTAGTCCAACATATATTACACGTAAGTATATCGAATAGAGTTTCGATAGAAACTATGTACTAAACAAATATAATATCGTTTTTTTTTCTGTTAGAAACAAATGGTAATCAAACAAATAATAATCATACAATTTTAACAGTATTAAATCCAATCAATGATTTACAAAATCAACGTTTATTAATTGATGAGACGATTCAAAATCATAATAAAGTTTCTCGCAATAGAAAAAAACGTATCATTCTTATGATTGTATTGACAGTTCTCGTTGTGTTAATTCTAGCATCAATTATTATTCTATTATTCTATCATCGAACGTCTTCTCTAGAAAACAATACTGTAACTACACCTTCGACTCTATCAAAATTTTCCACTGAATCTTTCTGGAAAAAGAATAGTAGTTCAACGAACGATCCAATCGATGATGAACGATGTCGACTTCCTTTGGGTAATTCGTGTACTGATGCTACACCTGGTGACAAAAAAGCAGCTGGTTTAGGTGTCTATTATGAATATCCTTGTAGTGGTGTTGGATGTAATTTTAATGGTGTTATGTGTCGTATATGTGCAAAACATCCTTCACAAATTGGTCGTCCATATCCGAAATGTCCAGAATGTGTTCCTGATATTGAAGTTTTATAAAACTTAATATTCATTTTTAAATAAAAACGAAGATCGTTAATCTATATTAGAAAAGTTCATACAATTTATATACAAAGATAAGTAAAAAAAATCATAACTGATTTTAGTCCATCATTTATTTATTAATCAAAGAATAGATAAAAAACGAACATTTGTATAAATATGATCAGTTTTTCAACTCATAGTTTTTCAGTTAAACAACACATTCGGGACATTTTGGATATGGACGACCAATTTTTAAAGGATGTTTCGCACAGAGTCGACAAAAAGGACGATAGAAATTACAACCAATACCTATACAAGGATATTCATAGTAGACTCCTAATCCAGCAGCTTTAGTTTCATCAGATGTAGCATCAGTACACGAATTACGGAGAGGAAGTTGACAGGCAGCTGGATTCTCATGACCTGCTTTTTCAGACAGCTCTTCTATGCCAGGCACACAATCTGGACATTTCGGATATGGTCGATTGATTTTTAAAGAATGTTTCGCACATAGTCGACAAGAAGGACCATTAAAATTGCAGCCAACACCTATACAAGGATTTTCATAGTAGACTCCTAATCCAGCTGCTTTAGTTTCATCAGATGTAGCACCAGTACACGAATCACCAAAAGGACGTTGACATTTCTCCTCTTCGCTGGTTGCTGAGACGATCTACAACGATAAAATATTAGATAAATCATATTTAAAATTTGTACATACGAGAATAATAATCATTACTAATATCATACTCAAACGCAATAGGCAACTAGGAATTGTTTTCGAAAACATATTTTGAAATAATGAGCATATAATCAAGAAAAGTAATCGTATTTATACACACTGATAAATGTTATTATATTTTGTAGTGGGAAAAATCCCACAAGAATATTTTATCTCTTCTCTGTCGTCTTTCTCATGTTACATTTTGTTTTTTATCATTTTATCTGTAAGCTATTCTATTGTCAAAATTGACATTATACACCATTAAATCAAAATAAAATACCATAGAATAATTATTTATTGATCATAAACAATTATCTCTGAAGAATTCACATAAGTACGAAATAAATTAACAAAAATAGACTCACATCCACATTCTCATCAAATGAAAACAAAAATTATATCAAACGAAAAAAATAAAATTTGATTCTCAAAATGTAAAACGAGTATATTTTTTCAACGAAGAATATCATCAAAGTTAAAATGTAAAACAAAACAGGTATTAAATACATAAGAAGTAAGATCAATAGTAGGCCTGTGATGGTGTGCGTGGGTGTAGATATTAGCTCAGGCACCCTTACGCACACCTTCAAGATGCATGTAAGAAAAAAGTCCGTGAAAAATCTTGTGAATTATAATTTAACGGGTGTTTCAGAATACATTAGACTTCGTATTTCTGATATTTCTCTTCTATTATCCATTTGAATGAAACGCCTTTTTTCTTATCAAAAGATGTAGCGTGAAAAGTTCTGCTAATTACGTCAAACCGTCTATTTTCTAGGGGTACTTTCAGTTTTCGAAATGGATAAAAAATTTGAATGATTAAATTTCGATCACGCGAGAATGATATATTTGTTTTAGTGAAGGATGAATTCATTTTTTCTTATTTGTTCTTTGTAAATTGTAGAGCTTTTCATGTTGCATATTTTGATACATCCTGTTTTTTCTAATTGAGCGAAGTAGATCATCAAAAAAAGTGATATACAATGACACAGAATCACATAAAACATATTGACTTATTCTTTAATAAACTGATGCAATTTAAAGTCACTTACATGATGTATAGTTTTACACTGTCATTTTAGATCCTGTTTTTTTAGATGACTAACTGTCAAAAACTAGTTGTATCACTTACTTCCGTGAGAAGGAATATATCATATTTATTTTATTATAAACTCTTTATAAAATGAGAGAATAATGCCTTTCTCATTTAATGTATATTTCACTTATTTATCAGAGAAATTTTCTGCGTAACAATATTTGATTCTGTGAGCTGTATACACGGGCTGATATAGATCTATTGTATTAAACAAATAGTTGTATTGTAAACGATCTTCGATCAATTCCTTGAGCATTTGGACTATCAAATATTGTGTTTTCTAACTTCTAATTATGATTTATGGTATCACTATTACCTCTATTCTTAAATGGCATTCCATAATTACTTCATATCTAATATCGCACAGTAAATATGCGAATTGTATTATTCACGCAATTATTATTAATCTCTTTTCTCTATCACAATAAGATTAGTGATATAATCAATACTCTGGGGTTGATACTGGCTTGAACGTCAGAGATAAAACAAGCATTTCTAAATGTCAATATATTCCTGTATAACATATTCTTTAGTAGCAATCCATTGTCATTAGAATTTGAAGAAGAAAATAAGAAATGTTTATTTATCAGAAATAATCATTCATCTTGGAGTTATGCATTTTATATTCAAACTTTGATAGAATATTTTTCTTATTTTTCTTCCACAAAATATTAGAAGAAAGAAAAGATGTGCCATCAACTTAGTTCTTCTAATGTAGTTATGGAGATTTTGTTTTCTGTTGAGAAAAAATTAACTTTTTGTTGCCATTATTGTTTTGTTCATACGCCATTCTCTTTTTATGAAACAACGTAGTTTCAGTTGTTTCTTTTTCTGCATATCCGATACATCATAGCAACAAACAAATGAAAGAAAAAATAAGGAAAACATCTACTGAATGAATATTTTTCATTAAGAAAAAAGTACGTTATAATGTATTGTTATGATAAACAATTATTTAGGCGATTTTGGAATACTAAGAAACTGTTTGTTTTAATTTATTTAATAAATAAAATGTTTTATTCTCCATTAAAACTATTCTACACAAATATAAACCTTAAGTGTTTGAATCATTTTCATATTAATGAAGAAAAATATGTCCATCTATTGAATTACAAATTAGAATCAGTCAAAAATGGAAGAATACGGAACGGAGAGATTTTTGAAATAGTGTTATCCTTTGTGTTATAGAAACTTAAGTCGAGTGTCTTTGATTTTGAAGAAGTGTTCAATTTTCTTGTCTAATCAAACAACTCATTCGATTATTCTTCGTGTAGATATTAAAGAATGACGTTATTCTATATTAATGATATGAAAGTTCACTGATATATTGTATAGTCTATGGGATACATTTGAAGAATTCAGATTTGAATATATAAATAAATTTCATCTCTAACTAAATGTTGATTATATTGTTTTTAAAAGTCAATTTTTTTGTATCGATCATTCTTCATCTAACTCAAAAGCTCTATTTATAAATATATTTGTCCTCAAATAACATTCTAACACGTAGGACAATCATCTTTCCAAATGAATAACTTTTTTTGAAAACAAAAAAAGTCCTGACTACTTTTCCTGATTAAACTGATGAAATGAATTCAAGAAAAAAGTCCTGACTACTTTTATGATTAAATCGGTGAAATGAATTCCGAGAACAAAAAGTCCTGACTACTTTTATGATTAAATTGGTGAAATAAGTTCTCGGAGAAAACTATGCACTACCCACTCAAAAAAGAGAAAAAAAAAGAATCTATTGCTCAATAAATACCTTGCCTCCTATTAGGATTTGAATTCATTTGATCAACTTAGAATTTGGTGGGTGATGATTTCAACAAGAGTTTGTTTATGGCTTTTATTTATAATTATAAAACAAATAATTGGAGAAGATACAGAATCAATGATAATGTCTTTAATACCTGATTCTAAATTTCAATGTGTCAATACAACGTGTTTACCATTCATTAATGTTATTAAATCAAACATTAGGAGTTGTCAAGTAGCCTGTTTAAGTCAAAGTCAATGCAGAGCAGCAACTTTTCATCGATCAACTTCTAATTGTGAATTATTTGCTGATATTTTGAATCAAAATGCAAATATGTTGGCTGATGCTGATGCTACTAGTATGAACGTTATTAGTGGCACACGATTTCCACCAGGTCAGTATAAATAAAACGACTTTAGAAGGAAAAATATCTGTGAGAGAGAAAAAGTTATTTTCTTCTTAAGAAATAATTGCAAGTTATTGAGAACTAAGACAACTTGACAGAGACATTGCACACATCTGTGTATAAATCACGGATTGATTATTATAGTAGAGGCATAATAAAAGTAGATATTGTAGAATCACAATTATAATGAAAATCATTTAAATATTTCCTATTTTATCATAATCAACTCATATTTAACGTTGATATTTTGCTGCAGAAAAAGAAACAGATCTTATCAAATCGTTTAGTCTCATTCTAAAACCATTTTTTCACAATAGAACCGACTACGACCTCAACATCCACAACAACAACAGTAACAACATCCACCACAACTTCAGCATCCACAACAACAACTTCAACATCAACATCATCAACATCCACAACAACAACATCCACTACAACATCAATAACAACATCCACTACAACAACAACTTCAACAACAACATCATCAACATCATCAACAACTTCAACATCAATAACATCCACAACAACAACATCCACTACAACATCAATAACAACATCATCAACAACAACAACTTCAACAACAACATCATCAACATCATCAACATCATCAACAACTTCAACATCAACAACATCCACAACAACAACATCAACAACATCATCAACAACTTCAACATCAACAACAACATCAACAACAACTTCAACATTAACATCCACAACAACAGCAACAACAACATCCACTACAACATCAATAACAACTTCAACAACTACATCCACAACAACATCATCAATATCTACAACAATTTCAACAACATCAAAAACAACATCAACAACAACATCAACCACAACATCAACAACATCAACAACATCAACAACAGCAGCAATACAGCGTCAGTACCATGTCAAATGATTTATAGTAGCTCAATAGATGATTACTAGAAGTGACGATATTTAAAATTTCTGATGTTAGCTATTGAATAGTCGCCATCTATGTAGAAAACATCAAAGAACATTTTCTGTCAGAAGTCGAAAGAAAGCTCGCTTCTTATGACTTGATTCTGTCTATATTCATTCAAGTATTGAATATTCTTGTTCTGTCCAGCAGTATTAGATAAAAATATTCTTGATAAAAAGATTTTCATGCGATATAACTCATTGGTTATTTTAGTAATGACTTACAGTCACCTACTCTCAAGATAACCGAAGAATAACTCTATACGTTGAATTATTAGTTGACATAATATTGATATGAAACATTTCTATCAATACCTAATCTCATATTTTCGATCGCACTTGTGTAGAGTTGAGTACTTCAAAAAAATATCGCAGATGTATAAAATACAAAAGTCAAACTTGAGAAAAACGCCTTTTAGAGTCATTGACTAGTCCTTAGTGAACTGATTCTCTCATAAGAAAGATGCAAGAATTATGTTCTCTTACTTTTAGTCACATCCTGATATATAGATGCACTATACATTAAACATGATGAAAGTACATGTTGTTTCCACTATGTTGAACAATATAGAATGAGTTTCACATAAATTTTGAAATTCGATCATTATTCATCACAACTTAATTGTGGAACAGTGTCGGAGTTTCGTCAGTTCGTGGCATCGGTAGAACCGGAAAATATCACTGAAGTTATTTATTACACATTTTTCAATAGTTTGATTTAACATTTTATAATAAATCTTATCATAATCATAAAAACAAAGAGAGGTTTATTGAAAGTTTGAAATCATTTAATTTGTGATCATTAGACAGACAACTTACACACATGAGAGATTTGAAGTCACTTTATGAACAACATTTTTTTCTAACTTTTTCACCTTATTTAGATTGGACAATGACAGGCAGCATGAATGTCGCACGATATTTTCACACAGCAACCACATTAGCAAATGGATCAGTATTAGTTACTGGTGGACAGGGTAGCAGTGCTCTTCTCAATAGTGCTGAATTGTACAATCCATCGACAGGCACTTGGACAACTACAGGAAGTATGAATATCATACGATGTGGTCACACAGCATCCACATTAGCAAATGGATTAGTATTAGTTGCTGGTGGTGGTGGTGTTGGAGATAATAGTGCTGAATTATACAATCCATCAACAGGTATTTGGACACGTACAGGAAACATCAGTGCCCCACGAAGCACGCACACAGCAACCACATTAGCAAATGGATCCATATTAATTGCTGGTGGATCCAGCAGTGGTTATCTCAATACTGCTGAATTGTACAATCCATCGACAGGCACTTGGAGAATCACAGGAAGCATGAGTGTCGCACGACAATTTCACACAGCCTCTATATTAGCCAATGGATTTGTATTAGTTACTGGTGGATACAACGGTGTTAATGCTCTCAATACTGCTGAACTGTACAATCCATCAACAGGCAATTGGACAATTACAGGAAGCATGAATGTCGTACGATATTGGCATACAGCATCCATATTAGCAAATGGATTAGTATTAGTTGCTAGTGGAGCCAGTGGAGCTGGTACTGCTGAATTGTATAATCCATCAACAGGCAATTGGACAACCACAGGAAACCTGAATGTCGCCCGATATTATCACACAGTATCCACATTAACAAATGGGTTAGTATTAGCTGTTGGTGGATCTAACGGTGTTTATCTCAATAGTGCTGAATTGTACAATCCATCGACAGGCACTTGGACAACTACAGGAAGCATGAATACGACACGAGATTATCACAGAGCATCCGTATTAGCAAATGGAAAAGTATTAGTTACTGGTGGAGAAAACGGTGCTCCTTCCAATAGTGCTGAGCTTTATTAATCGATATAGACAGATTGACATTTCTTTTGTGAACTGAATCATACTTTTTTTATATATATAATCAAACTATTTAATCATTCACATTTCTTAATAAATTATCATGCACCCAATAATATATGAGTTGCAGTAATATCTCGAAGTCATATTGTATGACGATTATTGAAGGGAGCTGTGATTGATAAATGAAAGATCATTATTTTTACAACTGACGAAATACAAATACATATATGAAGAATATTAATCATTTGTTGTTCCAACCACATGTATTCAGATGATAATGTATAAATAATCGTTTTCAAGTGAATATCAGAAATGAATAATTCAATAATATGGTCAAACAAATCAATTTTTTCCAACGAAACTCTTTTTTTAAATAGTTTGATCAGCTGAAATTGTTGTATTTTAGAAAGTAGATATATTTTATGTTCTTATTATATTCATATTTTTATAAAAGGGATGATAGTCTCGACGAAAAAAAGGCATATTGTGGAAAAACTACTACTTACTACTGACTAAATCAATAAAAAAGAAAATAGAGCTTATATTATTGAAAGTAAAAAGAGACGAGTGAGAATGGGAATTAGTATTGTATTCACTCTGAGTGTATTTATAGTTACACTGACGCAGTGAAATTTGTTTCAATCAATAATATATATCTCAAATAAATTGATATCACAAGTGACAAAATAAAAAGACAACAAGCACAAGAAATTATCTGCAGGTAGAAGAATGAAACAAAAGTATCAGGTTAAATCGTTGAAATCTTTTGATTAGTTGATAGTTTATAGAGTGACATACCACTTTATTCCCGATGTTCGTTGTTAAAAATATCTCTGTTCGTAAACGCTTCATTTGTAAGTCATATTTTCAAAAATACTATACAAAAGAAAACCTTTTCTAAGTAGAATTTCTTTCAAAAGAACTATTTCATGATTCCTTTTTTTAATTCTTCTCTTTATTGATAATGAATATTAAAATAATCAATCATTTCTATTCTTTATTCATATTTTGTTTTTTATTAAAATTTTATTGATGAGGTTTATACCTAATAAATAACTTCTGGTCATATTCAGTTATGTAACAAGTTCGATTTAATCTATATATCTTCATCACCACGCACCCATCCACACCCACATCTACTACTATGAATGTTTTGATCCTTAAACTATTTCAAACTGAGTGATGTAAACATTTTTTAATGATTGCCTATATTCATACTTTTTCGAGATCGATATATTATCCTATTTTCTTCTGATTGGTGCTTTCTCTCATATGATACATTCAACTAAATATAAGAAGAAAAACATTTCATCATCGAACAAGTTTGCATTACAGACTACGTACAATTCTAATTTTGTGTGCTAGAATCTATAATAGAACGGTGGAACGCAAACGTTGATTATATTTGAGCCAAAAAAAAATTAAAATATCAGATGCTAATCGTTTATCTGGATAGAGATATCCAATCTTCAAGTTATGCATTATTAGACTTATATAAATATGACTTCTGCATGAAGTATAAAAGTATCCGATTTGAAAAGAACAAACATTGTCTTTGAATCGTGTTTATGCATTGATGCATAAAATGAGTAATAAAAAAATATATTTGATACAAGTATTTCTAGTCAATGTCAGTAGATGACAATGAACTAAAATCTCGCCAATTGAAGAAATTCTAGTAATCATAACTGTTGTTTTTTATATAGGACATCGACGATAACGTTTGATTCTAATATTTTTATAACATCTGTTTTTATAGAGTTATATAAAATTTTTTCTTTTGATCTGTTTCAATCACTATTAAATAGATAATATTCCAAAAATGAAATTTCTTCATTTTGTACAAAAATATAACGTAGAACAAATGAAAAATGTTACAATCTTTTAAAATTAAAATCACCGCCTTTTATGTTCATCTGACACAAAACATATTGTTTATTAATTTTTAATCGATAAACTGATTTAAACGAGGCCTAATCGATGTGATTTTTGCCGTGCACGTATCATTTGTGCTAATGTAGTAAATGCATCTGTTATACCCTTTCCACTTAATCCACAACATGGAATAATATAATAAGAATCTTCAGGCCATTCTATTAAATTTAATTTGCGAGCTATATGTTCAGCTGGTAAAGCATCATCATTATCTTGTTTATTAGCTAAAACAATTAATGGAACATCTTTCATAGCTTCATGTTGATAGATTCCTTCTAATTCAGCTCGAGCTAAATGAAGACGACGACTATCAGTTGAATCAATAACAAATACAAGCCCATCAACATTATCAAAATAATGATGCCATAAGGTTCTTAAATGATCTTGACCACCAACATCCCAAACAGTTAAAGAAATTCCACGACATGGTGATATTGTTTCAACATTAAAACCTAGGATTCATATAGAAAAAATAATTACAATCTATTATTGTTAACAACAAATTACCAATTGTTGGTACAGTATGAAAATCTTCTGTACGTTTCATTCGATAAAGTATTGTTGTTTTACCTATTATTAATACAATTATAAATAACAAAATTCTATAGTATTATCATCGTACCTGCATTATCTAAGCCAAGCATAAGTATTCGTTTTGGGCCATCGGCTGATAATTTTTTCATAATTTTCGAAAGTACTTTCCCCATTTTCTACGAATAAATAATGATAACTATTATTTCACACCAATAGAGTCTTCGTCGTTAATGTTAAATAATACAAAAAAAACGCTGATCATAAAATAACAATATTACACATAAACACACGCGCTACATCGCTATTGTTGACGATAGAATATGTCAGTCATTATAATGCAAAACGAAATTTATTCGAGTCTAACGTCATAGATGTGTATATGCGTGTTGTGTTGGTGCAGAGGACATACAGGTGAATGAATAATATAACTAACAGAAGAGACTGTAGCTTAGAGCAAGGTGAGACAATTGCACGTCAGTCAAAGTCATATTGAAGCAGCAGTCCTTTTTCTATTATGTATGTGTAATCGAACAAGAAAAGAGAGAGAGGAGAAAAAAAACGAATGCAAAGAATCGGCCTCCTCTTTTATTGCACTTTCATTAATACATAGGCAAGTACCATTGATTGACTCGTCTTCGACGCATCGCTTTTATTATTGTCCAAGAATGCAACTACTGTTCATTTATTCAATCTAACCATCGTATACATATATACATATATGAAATGTGAAAAAAAAGAAATAAAAAGGGAGTTGCTTAGTAATTTGACAGTTCTTTTTTTTTCAGTTTCAATATTCTGTCGATATGAAACCATATATTTCGACGCAAATCGTTTTTAAATAATATTGACTTGTACGAAAAGAGGAGAAGAAGAAAAAAAAAAGATTACTGACTTATTATTTACTGTGATTTTTAATTAATCATAGAACAGTATTTGCAAAGTGCTTGATATAATTGAATGAAGTTAAGAATATTAAGAGTGTATCGTATAGAATTAGAGTGATGGAGAAAAAAAAGAGCTATGATTATCAAAATGACAATCATGAATGACTTTTAATATGCATAACCTTGTCTGATAAATATCAGACTTCTCTATAATAAAGTGTGAATAAAATATTAAAAAAAACTGATTCATCAACAAACATATGATATGTGGGTGTGTATGTCATTATTTCGATTGATTGATAAATGACTGAATGATAGAATTCAATAGTTGATTTATATTTTCTTAAAGATAATAAATTATTTATAGTAGACAAGGCAATATAATGTATCTCATTGATTCATAAAGACTGTATTTCAATACAAACGGAAGTGATCTATTTTTTTGCCAAATAAAATAGTTTTTTTTATAGCATTTATTTAATCGTGTTTGTCGCTGTATGATTATTTCGTATCATATATAATAATTCATAGTTTAAAAATGAAATGGATTATCTGATGACAACTTATCTATTGTATCTAATTCCTTTGTTTTCATATTATAAACATCTATGCTGACATAAAAGTATGATTGTAACGAGAGAGAAACGAAAAAGAGAAGAGTAAAATGAGATGTAACAATTTTTTTTTGTCATTGTCGTTTGTCATAATTGTGAAAAGAAAAACGAAAATGTTGATCCTCTCTGAGTTGTACGAGCACGTTTTGTGTATCTAGTCATCGTTGTCGGACGACGGTCGTAGTATGTATTTCGTTCTTTATTTAACTAGTTGCTTATTATTTGGTCAGACAAAAATAGAAAAAGAAGAGGGAGAAGAAGAAGAAGAAGAGAAGATAGATACAGATACAGCGAAGAAAGACTAAAAGTATAAGCTTGTCATTCACACTACGTTAACAAAAACGAGAAATGAAACTGTGTATAGTAAATTTTTTACTGCTAACAACAATATTTTTTCATTCAATAAATAGTCAACAATTTATTGTTGGTTGTTATTTTACGAATTGGGCTCAACATCGACAAGGTCTTGGACGTTTTCTTCCATCACATATTGATCCATCATTATGTACACATCTCTATTATGCATTTGCTAATATAGATATGATAAATCGAGGTCCAAGTCCATTCGAAGTAAACGATGTTAAACCATCTCCCGCAACTTCACCTGTTATCGTCAGTGAACCAGGAAAACTTGTAGTCAATGGTCGTCTTAATGGTAAACAAGCAATAAAATCACCAGCTCCGCCACCACCAATGAGCATGTATGAACAATTTAATATATTAAAACATAAAAATCCACAAATGAAAACATTATTATCATTGGGTGGTGCAAGTGTTAATGCTACACAGTTTCGAACTATGTTCGAACCTGATAAAATGCGTCGTGAATTTATAAGAAATACAATAAAATATTTACGAAAATATAAATTTGATGGTTTAGATTTAGATTGGGAATTTCCTGAAACTGAAACAGATCGTAGAATTTTTTCTTTACTCGTTCATGATTATCGATTTGAATTTCAAAATGAAGCTTTTACAACAGATCGTGCACGTCTTTTATTAACAGCAGCTGTTGCTGCTTATCGTCCAAAAATTGAAGCTGGTTATGATATAAAAGAAATTGCATCTTATCTTGATTATATTAATTTAATGGCATATGATTATCATGGTTAGTTCATCTTTTTTACTGCAATAAACAAATTATCTTGTTTTTTAGGTAGTTGGAATGCTTATACAGGTTTCAATAGTCCACTTTATCCACGATCGAGTGAAAAAGGTGATAAACGTTTACTTAATCAACAAGCAACAGTTGATACATGGATTGAAGGTGGATGTCCACCATCGAAATTAGTTCTTGGTCTTGGTATGTATGGTCGAACATTTAAATTAAAACAAAAGAAAAATGGCGATACAAAACCTTATGGACCAGCTAAAGGTGCTGGTCTACCAGGTAATTTTACGGCTAGTAATGGATTTCTTTCCTATTATGAAATATGTGATTTAATTAAAAAACAAAAATGGCATACAGAATATGATAAAGAACAACAAGTACCATTTGCATATAAAGATGATCAATGGGTTAGTTTTGATAATCAAGAATCAATTGAAAAAAAATGTCATTATGTTGCTGAACGACGTTTAGCTGGTGCTATGATATGGTCACTCGATTTTGATGATTTTACTGGTGGGTTTTGTGGCCAAGGAAAATATCCATTATTAACAACAGTTAAAAAAACATTAGATAGTCTTCAAGGACCAACAACACCACATAGAATTCATCGAACAACTCAAACAACAGTAACAAATCATGGATATTTTTATTCTCATTCACTTGTTCTTTTATTTTTTCCGATATTTATTTATCATTTTATTTGACAGATTGTTTTTATTTGAAAATTTCTTATTTATGTTTTATTTCGAATCTCACTCGAAAAATAATGTCTTTCTATTTTATCAAACAAAAATAGATAAACATTTGATTTCTTATAAAAAGAAAATTTAAAACAATGAGATTAATTTAAATGCTTCGAATCACATTGTATATATGTACAAATTTTTCTCTTTCCGTAATCAATTTACTAAACAAATATCACCATTGTTGAGTAAATAATATGAACTTGATCATTGATACGGGAGCATTTATTTATTCAGATAGATAAATGATTAAATATTTTCAAACAAGTGAAAGTCATATCAAATTTTATTTGATTTATTGAAAAGTGAACGGAATTAGTGAAATTGACAGGTTACGCAAGTCAGTGAACTGAGAATAAGTTATTACAAGCATTTTATATAATACCATGATTAGATATAATAAAACTAAAAGTTCTTTTTCTCTTCTGCACGGTAAGTTAACCTTCATTTTCCACTCTGACAAGTATTTAATGTATTAGCTGTCTTTTAATTACATCTGGACAAGAGAAAAGTTGTATTTCTATTCCATTAAAAGAACACATATGTCTTTTCCTTCAATATATTCTGAAAAATATACATTAAAAAAACAGAAATCATTCCTGAATAATAAATAAAAACTCATATTTATGCAAGAATACCATGAATAATAATTAAAAATTTGAATATATCTGTTTCAATTTCTACTGAAAGTACATCATCTGTTCGATAATTCCATAAACATCGACTCATTATTAAAATATCATTTTCATCTTGTTTGGGATAACTCATGACTTGTATAATAACTTTATAATTTTCTTTTATATGTCCTGCCATAATTTGTTTTATAATTTCTGTAATTTCATATGTTACTGTTCGAGCAGCATTTTCTTCACTATATTTAAGTTGTTTTATTTGTGGTAAATTAAGTAATTGACTAATTTGATCTTTGATAATCTATAGAGAGAAATCGAATTTATTTTTATATTTAAAATATAGAAGTTTATTACATACAACACTAAATGTATTATCGGCAAATTTAACTGGTACACCTGGTGTTATATTAGTCATCGATTCTTTATTGATATTTGTTTGATGCAAACCTTTGATAAAGATAAGAAATTCAATATATATATGATAAAAGAAGAAAGAAAGAGGCATACTTTCAATTGGATTTAATTGTGAAATTCGTTCACTATTACGAGTTGTTGGTGTTGATGATGATACAGATACGTAACGAGTCGTCGTCGTTGCTGCCATAGTAAATATGCCAATATAAATATTCGATAGGTAATATTTTTTTGTATTCGTTTATGTGTCGAGTGTAATATTTAGTAAAACTAAAACGTCAAAAAAATACGTTGATTATTCTATGAGTCTCGTTTTTTCTTTATATGCGATGATAGTTCTTTACTTTTTTACTGTTCCTTCTCTTCTGAGTAAATGACGCGTGTATGTGTATGCTTATACGGTGGTGAAGAACGCGTAAAAAAACAAGAGAAGAGAAGAGAGGAAGCAAGAGCGTAATATGTAAAGGTGTATGTCGTCTTGAAATAACAACTACTACTACTATCGCCGTCAAGTAGATGCCAATGAGAATGAAAGAACAGAAAGAAAGTTTTTTTGTATAATTAGTTTTTTTTTTAAATATTATAAAGAATTGAAAAGACTTGATGTTGACAGATGTGTAAAACAGAACACATAAAATCTTTTGCATATTAAAATGAGTAGACGACATTCTCAACAGCTATCAAATTATTGAATGAATGAACCAGTGTCATATATATATATATACAATGAAAAAATGATCAATTTCATCTTTATACATAGCAGAAGAATAAATCTTCTTCGGATGCACCTGTTGCAATAGTATTGCGATTACTGAGGTCAATTCAATTGAGAAAGAGAGAGTGAGAGAGGAAAAAAAGAAAGGTCATCAAATGCCGATATGGTACGAATGTTAATGACATAAGAAAAAAACGTGAACATTTATTATGTCTATTGAGTTTGAAAAAAACTATATGATTAAAATCGTTTTTTCTTGTTTTATGAATAATTTATCTAAAATTTTTTTAATTGATTGTATCAAAAAACAATCGTCTATAATTAATAATATATTTATAAGAATAGATTTTTCTCTTTTAGTTTAAGTCACGTATTGAAGAATTAATTGAGTCTAATTAGAGTCTTATATTTTAAATTGAATTGACAAATATAATCAATTATTGTTCAACATTATAAATTTTTTTTTTATTTTTTCGATAAGTGTTATATAAACAATATTATATTGATTGTTTTGAAAAGATTTTATAATAAGAATAAGTCTTTGGTCGTCTAAAGTCATGAAGATATTTGTATAACTGTACACACGCTTGGTTAGATTTGAAAGACATTGGTATATGGAGTGATATCTATCGGTCTTGAAAAAGGAGACTGATCAGTTATTTCTCAATGCAATCGAGTGTGACGATAGTAAAAAGCAAGGGAATATGTCTTCATATATATGTAGCTTGACAGCACATTTTTGTGTCTATTTTCTTATCATTCATTTCCTTGAACTAGTTGACAGTCATGATTAACGCAACCCATATGTGTCAAATTCCTACAGGTAAAAGGGAATCAGCAAATTCAAACTCATGTTATTACTGCCAACAAGAAGCATTTCATTCACCGTATGTTCAACATAATTCATCGATGATAAATGATGTTAGTGCTTTGGTCGATCGAATTCATACACTTACAGATAGTATGACTACAATTTCAATAACTACAATGCGTAGTAGTTTATGTAATCAATTACAACAATGGCGAGAGGACAATGTTAATCATATCAATAAAATATATAAACAAAAATTAGCTGAATTAAATGCAAAAATTGTACACTTAGATACAATGTTAAATCAATTAAAAAATGAAAAACAACAAGAAATCTCACAAGTTAGGATGAAAATTGGTGAATTAGTAAATGTTGGTGGACCGACTTCAGAACAGATGACTCGTCTACGTAAAGTAGTCGATCAAATAGCAGTCGATCTAGATAAACTTCGATCATCAACAATACGAATTGAAATTCTACCAACTAATCTAGATACTTGTCGAGTTGTTTATATGGATCCATCACTAAATATTCAACAAGAAGGTGTTACAGCTTCTGTTTCAAAAACTCGTATTAATGATGATGTGAAATATTTCAATAAACCAACTAATCATTGTCGTCCCACTCCATCGAAACCCATGCCAACAATGAAAAATCTTAGACAAGCATCGTCAGCTCCTATTATTGATGCAACTGCTGGTTCGCATCTATTTCATTCTCCTGGTCCACCTCCTACTGTACAACCACATATTTTAAAGACACAACCTATATCAGATCCACCTCATACTACATTCAAACCATCTCATATACCCATGCCACCTCCTCTACACGAAGCATCTCAAATACCTATGCCACCGCCTGTACCCGAAGCATCTCACAGTCCTAAAGAATGTCATTCACCTACACCGTCTGAATTATCTGAACTATTACCACCTAGGTCACCGGAAATACCAATGCCACCACCTATACACGAGTCATCTCATATACCTATGCCACCTCCTCTTAATAAGTCACCTTCAAGTTCTGGAACACAAAATATACCGATGCCACCACCTATTCCAAAAACATCTAATATTCCAATGCCACCTCCTGTGACTACACCGACGACAGTACCCCTACGTACTATTCGAAGATATGGTAAACACCAAGTAATGTTCGAATAAAATTTCATTAAAAATTGATTTTAATCTATTAAATATTATTTTCTAACTTTATATCCATTAAAATGGATTATAGTTGATTTTAATCGATTCTCAACTATTTGAGAATTGATTGAAATTTATCAATCATTAATACAATTAATGCTTCTATTATTTGTAACGCATTGTATTTTTGTTAAATAAAACATATTTTTCATTTTTATTTTAATTTTAATTTTTGTTGTCGAATAGAAAGACATGGTAATCTCCTATATTAATCATAGTTGTTAAATAGAACAACTATTTCGTCAGCATACATATTTAAATTATGAAGAGAAAATGGAGTCTTTCATATCTATACTCCAAAGAAGAACAGCTAGAATCAATGCGTATATCATTTACTCGTACCTTTCATGGAAATTACACGCCAATAACTCATGAAATCAGACATTTAGTACATAGTTCATACTTATCTTTTTCTTCAGCAAAATTAAAGAAAATGACAGATGGCTATTAATTCTTTGAGGATCGATTTATTTTTGAAAGAAATTATGCTTTTCTATTTTTACTTTTACTTTTTAAAACACATGAAAAGAGTTTATATCTAATTAAAAACGATTTAAAGTATGATATTTTTTAATGAGATCAAAAGTAAAATGTTGCGAAGTTGATCCTTTCAAAAATACTTATTGCTTCTATTGGGTAATAGCCAAAGATAGTTGTATGTGATAAACACAATTCATTTATTATGAAAAGTGAAAGACTATATAGATGTTTTGGACAGGATCAGCGAGAACAGAATAGAAAGATCCATATGATGTAAAGGTAGAAAACATGACGTCATGGAAAAACATACAAGATGGAAAAGTACGTATGACGTTAGAAAAGAATGCATAATGTAAATTTATGAAAAGGGCCATTAGAACACACATGTGCCTTAGCGGTCTTCAAAGGGTTAACGATATTGTACTTTAGCGTATTTAAAAGCATTACCCAGCTGTTTCACTACAAATAAATATATGTTACGATATGTAAAATATTCTATTGTATTCATCAATATCTTCTATTCAATAGAACTTTGAATAAAAATATATAATTGATGTTCGGAACATTTTTTTACTAAAAATACTTTGTTCCAGAAAACTGTCCCAGATTTGATTTTAATAATTGTAAGTAGAATTAAACATACAAGATCTGTTATCTTCGATATCTCTGTAAGAAAATTCATTTTATTCTTACACCATCTTGAGGATGAGCGTGAGTGTTGTAATTATCGCACAGCTAGATCTACATCCACACCCTCAAGATTACTCGTTCTATAAATTATGAAAAGGAAGAGTCAATCGTTTTTTTTCTATTTAAAAGTACATATCATTTCGAATGCTAGCGACATCCAATAATATATGCGTATATTCTCTTCTTAATGGATACTGATTCAGCAACAGCATATTATATTACCGTAACATATTATATAAATTGCTATTGCTACTGCTTGACTTTTTCTTTTTCTATTGATTTTTATATAACAAGACAACGAATAATTATTACTTTATCAAAATGTATAATTTATTGTGAAATATATTAAAAAATGTTTTATTATCGACAACTAATTTTAATTAATTTTTTTCTCGTGTATTTATCAGCATCATCTCAACACTCAGGTCATTTAAAACCATTTGGTTCATCGGGTCCTTTTGAACAAATTGATAAATTAACAAACGATTTTCCTGATCCAATATTATTTTTTGAAAATTATGCTTTTAAATCACATCCTGTTCTTTTTCGACAAGTATTAGCTAATGATCTTTATTTATCTCTATGGAATAAAGATAAAAAATTAAAGAAATTATTTTTAAATAATAAAGAAATTGTTCATGTTGAAACACGAAAAAAAGAAAGTCGAAAACAAAATATTTTAACGATGACTATGACTGATTTTTTAAAACGATATCAATCGGAAGAACTTTATCTTGTTGAAGAAGTACCAAAATTAGTAAGGTAAAATTTGTCTTCGAAAATTTTTTTTTCCAAATGTAAAATATTACATCTTGTAGACCATATTTTACATTACCTAAATGTCTTCAATGTGAACCCGCTATAGAAACATTTCAAGTTGCTGTAAGTTTCTTCAAAAACGGATTTTCTAAATTATCTTTTTTTTGCTATTTATATAGATGCTGTGGTTTAGGTAGGATTAATATTAAAAATAAATATCAATCGAATTTCTTTCGTATTTTATATATTAAAGTTCAGGCAATACATCATCAGTTGTACATACAGATGATTATGATAATATTAATTGTGTTTTACAAGGTGAAAAACAATTTATTCTTATCGATCCTCATACATACAAACACGTTGCTTCACAGGTTAGTATTTCAAAAAAGGTTATTTTTGAATATAAATTCTTTAATTTAGATTATTGACAATCCTAGTGGTTCATTTTCATCAATAGATGTTGATCGGTAATATCAAATTTTTGATAATTCACTTCATTAAAATTTCTATTTATTTTCTAGTGTTAATTATGATAAATATTCTTCTCTCGATAATGATATTCATTATTATCAAATGAATTTAAGTCGAGGTGATTGTCTATTTATTCCTGCATTATGGATTCATCAAGTTCGTTCAAGTGATCGTAATATAGCGGTAAATTATTGGCTTAATCATGCACGCGTTAAGAATGCTGTTATTAATCAAAATACTTGTGAATTATTAAAGCAGTCGAATTTAATGACACTTGATACAATAACATGGCCAAAAGAGTTATCAAATCTTGAAGGTTTACAAGATTTTATGTTTGATCTTATTGATGAAGGTGCAACAAGTTTTAAAGACTGGACAAGAGAATTTTCAAAAGTAAAAATATTTTATTCAAAGATTTGAAATATTTATCTTTTTTTTAGGATCTTAATTTTGATCTGCATTCTAATACGGGTATAATTACATTATTTGCAGAGGTAATTTATTTTCATATATTAAGTGAAAATATTTATTTAGTTTTATTTAGTTTTTTAATATGATTGATACAAATGAAAATGGTTTTATAACCGTTAACGAACTTGAACTACTTTTAGATGATAATAATGTAAGAAAAAGATTTTATTAATTATCTATTTATTTTCTTCAAATTTTAGAATATGACAGCAGCTTTTGAAATTCTTCAAGATATAGTTAATTTAATCGAAATAAAATCAGGCAAAGATGTACAATCAAATAATCAAAATATAGATGAACTATTATCCGGTGACGAAACTGAAAAAGATGATGACATTAATCTTAAACATGAAGATTTATAAAAAATTAGCTTGTTTTTGAAACTGACAATTTACGAATAAAAATTTTTCTTTTGTATTTTTTTTTCTAGATGAAATCTTTTTTTTTATTCGTTTTGGTGATATCAATTCATCTTGTTTATAGTGCTAATCAAAATCCTGGTCATTTAAAACCATTAGGCTCTGTTGGATCTTTAATTAATATTCCAGAACTTCATCATGAATATCCATCAGTAACAAAACTTTTGACATATTACATACCAAAATCTGTCCCAACTATTTTTCGTCAAGTACTTAATAATGATAATCATTATTCTATTTGGCAAACAGATGAACAACTTGAAAGTGAAGTATACGGCTTGTCAGATACAAATATACAAGTCGAATCATTTAAATTAAGACAAAGAGTTGAAATGACATTTGGAAAATTTCTTCAACAAGTTAGAAGAGGACATTTAATGTTTGCTGATGATGTACCAGAAGTTCTTCAGTAAGAATTAATATCTAAAATATTAATCAATTATTCGTATTTTTTTAGAAAATATCTTACTGTTCCTAAACCTTTACAATGTGAAACTGTTTTAGAAACTTTTCTATCTGCCGTATGTGTTTTTAACTAAAATTAATTCATAGAAATATGATTTTCATTAGGTTTTAATTATCAACCATATTAATACATCACCATTATTGTCTAATGAAAATAATGATCATTTTCATTGTATTCTTCGTGGTAGTCAACGTATGGTTTTAATTAATACACTTCAATATCCTGATGTTCGTAAGGTAAAATAAAATAGAGGATTTTATTTATTCAAAATTTACGTTTCATTTTTTGTTTTGAAAAGATTCTTGCACCAGAAAAACGACACCAACGTGGACCACCTGTTAATCCAGATCGGTAGGTTTCTTTGTTCTTTTGAAAAAAGAAAAATCGTTTTTTTCCGTTATGTTAAGAGTTGATTTTGATCTATTTCCATCATTAGCAAATATTGATTATCATATAGCTAATTTAACATCAGGTGATTGTTTATTTATTCCAAATCATTGGTTCTTTCAAGAACGTTCACTTGAAAATACAATAACAATTGTTTATAATATAAAACATCAACAAGCATTAAATATCGATGTAAATGAATTAAAAACATGTCCAGAATATGATCCAACATTTACACTTGATCAAATTGATTGGTCTGTTGAACGTCATCCTCAAAGTTTCAAGTAAAATTATTAATAAAAATGATTATGTTTTATATAAATTTATTAATATAGAGATTTAATAAAGAATCTTGTTAATACAAAAACAGATGGATATGATAAATGGCAAGAAATGTTTTCGAAAGTAAAATGAAATATATCATAAGATTTTAGTTAATGATAGTTTTCTTTTACAGCACTTATCTTATGATATAGCATCAGATCCTGAAGCATCAGCTATGTTTGAAGAGGTTTATTTCATTGTAAATTTATATTCAAACTTTGATGAATATTTTTAGTTCTATGGTATTGTTGATGTTGATGGAAATGGTCAAGTAACAACATCAGAAATCGAACAAATTAATGGAATAGTAAGACAAGAAACGAAGGATAAAGATTTTTTGAAAGATAATATTTTATTTAGCATCAACATCATATTACTGATATTCTTTATGAAATGGCAAAAATTATTAATAGTAAACGTAAAACTAGTACTCCAAAACCAGTGAAAATCGAAGATGAACAATCAATATTGAATGATAACGACAATGATGAACATCTTCATTTACAAAGTTACAAAACCGATTTATAATTTCTAGTCTATATGTTGTGATAAACTTGTTTTTCTTTTTCTTTTATTAAACACTAACTCATTGTTAGTCATTTCATAAAATCTCATTTAACATTATTTTTCAGAGTTTTTAATCATGACTGATTCTTATTTTCCAAATAATTACACCGAATATCAAGACGAAACTTATTTAACTTCAAATAATCAAGTTCGTATTTTTATTTTTTTCATTAAAACTATTTTATTGTTTAGTTAATACCAGAAATTAGTTCAAATATAATTCATTGGATTGAACATCAAATACATACACTTGAACAATACACTGATCAATCTGATGCGTCTGTATATACTGGAAGTGCAGGTAATGAAGCTATATATATATAAATATATTCATATTAAATCTGATAGGTATTGCATTACTTTATTTACGTCTTGGAAAACTTTTTCCAACTGAAAAGAATAATTATACATCTAAAGCAAAAATCTTAATTGATTCATGTTTAGAACAACTTCATAGTATGATATTAGTTTTTATAATTTGATTAAATAATTAACTATAATATAGGTAAACGAATTTCATTTTTGGCTGGTGATCCAGGACCATTGGCAATTGCAGCAGTAATTTATAATGATTTAGATAATCAAAACATAGTAAATAAATGTATTGAAAAGTAAGAGATTCTATTCATACATTTTGATTGATTATATTTTTTTTTCCTAGAATTATATCAATAAAAAATGATGCAGTAAATGATTCAAAATCAGATGAATATATTTATGGACGTGCTGGTTATCTTTATACATTGATGTTTCTTCGAAAAGAAATTGGAAGCCATATAATTGATAAACAATTAGTTATTGATGTAATGAATAAAATATATATTCATTTTTTATTCTAAAAGTATTCGTTTATATTCCTAGGTATTCGAAACAATTATTAAATCTGGTGAAAAATATGCGAAAGAATCAGGTTCTAAATCTCCATTAATGTATCAATGGCATGATAAAGAATATATGGGAGCAGCACATGGTGTTTCAGGAATTATATATCTTTTATTAAAGGTTCGCAAAAAAGTTTTTCATATAAGAAAAACATTAAAATGATTGATTTGTAGGTAACACAACATGAATTATTTTCAGAACTTCGATTATATGTTAATTCACATTTAATACCAACTGTTGAATTTCTTAAAACAAAACGATTACCAAGTGGAAATTATTTATCATCAAGTAATAGTCAATCAGATAAACTTGTTCAATGGTGTCATGGAGCACCTGGTTTTGTATATTTATTTGTTCGAGCTTATGAAGTAAGTGAAGAATAAACTTTTGTAAGTAGGTTGAAAAAAAAACATGTTTTAGGTGACAGGAACTCATTCATATTTGGATCTTGCTATATCTGCTGGAGATGTTGTTTGGAAACGAGGACTTTTAAGAAAAGGTTATGGACTTTGCCATGGTACAGCTGGTAATGGTTATGTTTTTCTTGATCTATATCGTGCAACTAATGATATCAAATGGCTTCATCGAGCTATTAAAGTTTGTTTTTCGAATAAAATAATATTCCATATATATTATTTTTTAGTTTTCTGCACATTGTTTGGATTATGGTCAACATGAATTATCAAGAACACCTGATCATCCATATTCATTATTTCAAGGTTAGTGTTTATTCATTATACATAGTCGATTTATACAAAAATAATTTTTTTGTTTAGGTCTTGCTGGTACAATCTATTTTATGACTGATATTCTTAATCCAATGAATGCTCGATTTCCAGCATTCGAATAAAATCATAATTAATTAATAGAGAGCATTCAGATTTCAGGTAACATCAGTTGTGTAGAATTTAAAATAGTATCAACGTTCAAAATAGAGCACGTGACTTAGTGATTATTTTTTATTATGTAATAGAAAAGATGAGTTTTCGTCTATTGAGACAGGTTAGTAAATGTAGAAATAAAAAAATTCGCAATTGTATTAGAACGAACAATTGATTTTGATATGTAATTTTTTTAGATGAATTATGTTTTTTTTTGGAAATAAATTTTATGTTATTTTTATATCAATATGGATTATAGCACTTTACTTTATTGTAACAACATTTCATTCTATATCGAATAATGACAAATCATCTGAAAAACGAATAGAATTTTTACAGAATGAACTTAATTTACTTCGACAAAATTATCGTGAAACTCAATCAAATACATCTAGTACTCATTATCAATGGGAAGAACTCAAACACGAACTTACACGTGTTAAACGTCAGTTGATAGATAAAAGTGGTGCTAAAACGATACCAAAACGTAATCTAAAGACATTTGATATTTAGATAAATGAATAACTTTTGAATGTTTTAGAGGCACCTTCTTTGGAATATGAACAATTACGACGAAAAATCGAAACACAAGCACGTGAATTATCTTATTTTACTAATAATGAATTACAAAAAATTTCCGAAAAATTATCCGAAAATGACAAATTCAAATGGAAACAAGTTATTGAAAGATTCAATGATCAAAGTAGGTCTGTTTAATAAATCTACAGAAATAATAAAAAACTGATATATATATCTTGATTTTTTCTAGAGTACTTTTAGCTTCTATTAGAAATTTAACGAATGTAGATGGATATCAATCATGGCGTGAATATGAACATAAAGCTCTTTCAAAATTGATGCAAACAAGATTAAATTATTTACAAAATCCATCGAAACCATGTACAGATGTTAAACGTCTTATATGTAAGATTAACAAAGATTGTGGTTATGGATGTCAAATTCATCATGTTATGCATTGTTTTCATATTGCATATGCACTTGGAAGACCAATGATTTTGTTTTCTGGTAAAAATTTTATTTCGAAAAGAAAAAAAACTATTGAAAAACTTGTTATTTACAGAAGGATGGCAATATAATCGCGGTGGATTTGATCAAATATTTCAATCTCTAAGTCACACTTGTAATACATCTATGGTTTATAATGTATCAATTTGGGGTAAAATTTAATTTATAGAAATATCAAAGGATAAACAAAAAATTTGCGAATCTTTTTTTATAGATCAAAATGAAATAGCTGATGTTATTGAAATTCCATCTGCTGATTTTCTTAAGTCATTGAAAGATTTTATGCCAATGGCAATTCCTGAAGATCTATCTGAACGACTTATTCGTTTACATGGTAATCCATTTGTTTGGTTTACTGGACAATTAATGAAATATTTATTACGACCACAAGCATGGTTAACTCAATTCTTGGAAGAAAAGTATAATACACTTAAATTCGAAACACCTATAGTTGGGTAAAAAAACTATAATGAATTCATAGATTTTTTGTTTATTCTTAATTTCTTACAGAATTCATGTACGACGAACAGATAAAGTTGGAACAGAAGCAGCATTTCATGATATATCAGAATATATGAAATATGTTGAAGATTATTATATTATTTATAAATATCAAAATCCAAATATAAATGTTAGTAAACGTGTTTATATAGCAACGGATGAGCCATTGGTTTTTGATGATGCTCGTACAAAGTATAAACTTTGACTCTTCGTTAAAATGAATTAATTGTGTTTTCTTTTTGCTTCAAGATATCCAGATTATATATTTTATGGTGATAAATCTGTAGCAAAATCTGCTCAAGTAAATTCGAGATATGGTACAGAATCACTTAAAGGTGTTTTAAGTGATGTGCATTTTCTTTCATTATGTGATTATCTTGTTTGTACATTTTCATCTCAGGTAAAAAATATTATTTAATTTAAATGAATGAATATATATATCTAAATTTTAGATCTGTCGTATTGCTTATGAAACCATGCAACAACGAACTATTGATGGTGCATGGCGTGTACAATCACTTGATGATGTTTATTATTTTGGTGGTCAACATGATCATCAACAACGCGCTCTTATATCTCATAAAGCTGTTAAACCGAAGGAATTTAGTTTTGAACGTGGTGCTATTATTAGTGCAGAAGGTAATCATTGGAATGGATTTTCAAAAGGATCAGATAAAACTAATAATCAATCAGGTCTTTATCCATCATATAAAACCGAAGAAATTGTTCGAATTGCACAAATGTACCATTATTCGGAAGTATAAATTAAAGAAGATGAATGATAATTTTGCATAATGAAATATTTTATTCGAATGAAATTATTACTTTTTGTTGGTTATATTTGTAAATATAGGGGAATCTCAGTTTTATTTTAATGGATCTCAAGTTTTTTGTTTTTCTAGTCGAATTGCATTTTTATCGAATGTATTTTCTTTTTTGTTATATCGATAATTTAATAAATTGGCCAAAAAGTTCTGCAACACTTTCGCTCTGATGAACAATTGTTTTTCCATAAATCTGATATATTACATCCTTGTCAATCACCTTTAATTTCATCTGATGAGTTATGTGGATTGTTTCTATCGATGGATTAAATTCAATATTAACAATCGAAACTTATTTAAATAATATAACAAAATTACATACAGAACTAGCGGAAGTACCCGCTGCAAATTCTCTCTCATACAGTTATCGCTGTAAAATCCTTCTGATACGGTTCCCGCTGCAAAATATTTATATTTCAAGTACCTTCCGTATCCGACCCCGTCGCTATTTTTCCTTGTATATACAGAAGTGTGATTGATGGTTTGGTGACGTTAACTATCACAGAACCACCTGGGTGAAGTTTCAATCACGCCCCCTCCTGATGACTATGCAAATCCCCGTCGACCGCCCTTGGGGCCTAAGGAAGCGTCATGGAAAGCTTGGTGATCATAGCTATCACAGGGACCAAATGCATAGCGAACAGAACATGTGCGCTCAGACGGCCTTCGCTAGCTATTTTTTTTAAACTTTTTGAAATGATGCAATCCTATTGGTCAGTTTTATAGATTGCCAGTAGCAAGCGTAGGATTCATTTTTTTCGGAAAAAAGTAGATCTCGACCTTCCCTGGGTGTAGATAACATTTCTGGAAAGTTTCGTTGCATTTGCTCGTACGGTCTTCGAATGCATAAAGAACAAACAAACAGACATACTTCTTTATATATATAGAAGATGTTTTTTTATATATCATTGTATCTAACAACAATTGAATAAAAATTAAAAAAAGGGTATCTTTAAAGTTTAAACTTTAGGTACATTGTTTAGTTATTGTAATCGAATTTTAATCTATTTAATAATCTGTGACTAAGAAAATATCTTTTTCTTTTCTTTTCTTGTTTGTTGACATATGTAAGTAACAGCCGACATGCAGTTTTAGTCAGTTTTGCCTATTAAAATAATGAAATATTTTACTGAAATCTACCCACGACGATGGTCCCTGAAACAGGATTCCATAAACTTCCGACGAAATCCCTTAGGAAACTCACCATTTCCGGGTGGAACTCGCCAGGAATCCGATGAAGAAGTGTGGTAACCGTATCCAGCTGCCGGTTTTGACATGTTCCTGTCGGTTCCGGTCCAAACCAGATAAAGCTGATCGGTTTGTTTTATTTTTATATTTTAAAAATATTTTGAATAAATTTATTTAGTCATTTTGTAACATGTGGTCAAAATGGTAATATATATGTATTTGATAGAAATTTAGATCTTGTTAAACGTATACGATGTGATGGTTCATGTCATCGTATAGCTGTTCATGTTAGTTATCTATAGAAAATCTATACAAAACTGTTAGAGAGCACTCTAACAATAGTAATACTTTTATTACTATCTATTTGTTTCTTCTTCTTTTCGGTGTGTATGTGAGTGAGTGTGTGTTGTGTATATCTTTTGTTTTCTTTTCTCTCTCTCCTCTCTTCACATGACGACCAACTGGTTAGTCCAGGCTTTTTCCTTCTTGTTGAATGAGAAGACGAATTCCTCATCTTCTCTCTATGTTTCATTTTACTTTTACAAGAAGATAAGTTATTTCATCTTCTTTTGTTTGTTTTCTTTTCTTTTTACTTCTTACAAAAAGATGATTTACATCATCTTCTCGTCCGCTTTGGGTATGAAAAGAGGAGATATGCATGATCACTCTTCTTCTCTCTTTGTTCTCTCTTTTTTTTCCATATTGATCAGATGTCTTCCGCGTGCGTATGTGTGTGTGCCTAAACATCAACTAAGGTATAAATACCTTCTTCTTTTTCTAATAAAATCAGTTAAGAAATAGGATTATTCAATAAATAATCTACTGACTCATTTATCAGAAGAATAGGGCCTTGTAACAAAAACAAAAACAAGCTAATAATATTATAATTATTTTTTAAGAAACGTTATTTATTTGTTGGGACAAAGACAAATGAACTTGAAGTTCGATCATTTCCAGGTGGTGATTTATTACAAAATTCTGATTATTTTGATGAACTAGTTTCAGCATCAGTACTTTGTTTATCAAATTCATCTGTATTTATCGGAGCAAGGTTAAATAAAAAAAACGAAATTTATTTTTTTTCTTTTTTTCTTTTAGAGATTTTAAAATTATGATGATGAATTTAATCCATGGTTCAAATGAAATGAAATATTTTCATGGACATAAAGCACCAATAATTGCATTAAGTGTTTATGAAAATAAACGATGGCTGGTAAGATACTTTTTTTTATAGATGAAAAAAAAATATTAAATCTTTTTTGTTTTTTATTCTAAGGCAACATTATATTGTGATGGTACAGTTTGTGTATTTAATATTGATACACAATTTTTAGAGACACAATTCAGTATTACAAAATCAAATGATATTTTCTCAACAACGTGTTAAAATTATTGAATATTATGATGAAAAAGAAAAACAAATTCAATTACAAAGAAAAATTCAACATTCAAATTTAACTGATGCAAGTCGTTTAGCAATTCTTAAAACTCGTAATGATTATGTTCAGACGTTGAAAGAAGAAGGAAGAAAACAATTATTAATTTTAACACAAGATCGATCAAAATATAAAACTATTCTTGCTAATCTTACTGCACAAGGACTTTTTCTACTTATGGAAAAAGATGTTACAATTCGATGTCGACGTAATGATCGTGATCTTATTAAAGAACTTATTCCTGACGCAACAAATAAATTAAAATGAAAAGACCTTCAAATTACTATTGATGAAAAAAATTTCTTACCTGATAATTCGTTCGTATTTGATTTAATATTTTTAAAAAGAAATGAATAATCATGTATTATTTTTAGAGCTGATAGTGTAGAACTTTATGCAATGGGTGGAAAAATCAAGGTATCAAACACGACTGAAGCTCGACTTTCAATGATATTTAATCAAATTCTTCCTGAAATTCGAGAAAAATTGTTTGGTGTTAACCAGAATAGAAAATATCATGACTAATCTATATTCTCTTTTTTTATAAATATTCCAACAATAGAGCACAACTTGACATCTTATGGCAAAACTATTATTTTTAATCAATTTACAATAAATATATTATATGTGCGTATATGTCTAATATCGAATATAAATTTATTTTATTTATAAGAATAAAAATAATCATGGATATTTATTTTTGCTTTTCTTTTCTTCAAACTCTTTCGTTTATTTTCAATGAATGAAATACAAAGACATTTAGTTATTTATCATAAAGTATGTCAATGTAAAATTGTTTCTATCACGCTTGGTAATCATTAAAATATTATTTAACCTATTAAAAATATAACGAATCTTTGATCATTACATATTCAATACAGAAATGATGATGCTTATGCAATATATATATACATCAGGAAAATACAAAACTAAAAAAAAAACTCTTCATATGACACAAATAAACTTAGTCAATGGTTGGAAGATCATTTATCATCGACATATTTAATTGTGAATGATTCAAATAATATCTATACTATTCAAATATAGATATGTTAATAATGATGAAAACATATTTCTCTGAAAGTAATCATATCAAAAGTTTTGATAAAAAAAATTGATTAAAATGCATCCAAAAAGATCATTATAGAATAAAGGTCTTCTGACAGAGAATTTTATTGTTCATTTGCACTCATATCAGAATGAAACTCTGTTAGAATAGGCGTGTCATTCATCATACTAAAACTATGAATACTCGAGCAATAGATAATCATACAGTGCTTCTTTCATTTTTAGGATATTTATTTTTTTAATTTGATCAAATAATGTAAATCATAATCATCTACTGAAGAATAAGTTTCACACTATATGCCATTAAATTTGTTTTGACAAACAGAAGAATGATCTAATGAATAGACGACTAATGCAAAAAAATGCTAGTCAGTAAAAACAATGCCATCATCCGTCCTTTATAGTTCAATATTATCACCTCAATATTTATTCGTCATTCTTCTCACAAAGACAATAAGAAAATTTAGGCACATGTGTATAAATCAATTGACATGGATGAATACAATAGCGATATAAACATGAATATTTCGAAGAACAATTATTCAAATATATTCGATCTACCCAATGAAATATTATTTATTATTATCAATAAACTAAATACTGTTGATGTTATTTATTCACTTGCCGATGTTAACGAACGATTTGTTCAATTAGTATTTGATCCTCTTTATATTCAAAATCTTAATATTACACTTATGACTATGAAGTCATTTTATCAACGTACATTTTCAATACATGAACAAGTTCTTTCAAATATTTGTGAAAACATTTTACCAAAAATTCATGATCAAGTTAAACAACTTGCTATTGAACAACATTCAATAGAACGTATTCTTACTTATAACTATTCTCAACTTTATTCTTTGTCACTTGTTAATTTTAAAGAAGAAATACTCTATCAATATCTAACAGGTAGATTTTATTTTTAATATTTTCATTAGTGAAATGAATTTTTATTCGAAGATTATTCAATTCTTCGTGATCTTCTTACACAACAAATCACACACCTAAATATTGATATTCAGAGTGATGAAATACCAAAATTATTATCTAAAATTTCATTAAATATATTTACATTGATTTTATCTCTATGTCAACGATTAACCAATTTGAATTTTTGTCAATTATTTTCTTATCGAAATTCATTTATTTCGATTTATTATTTACCAAAAACAAGTTGTACATATTGAACTTTAATCGAATTGAAAATAAATGTTGCAACGTTTAATGATTGTCTTTATCTTCTTGATGGACGTTTCGATTCTTTATCAAAACTAACTATTAATGTGAAAAGAATCGGATGTGAAGTTCTAAAAAAAAACAACAAGGTAAATTTGAAATGTTGTTTTGAGAAAAAAGATTAAATTAATTAAATGATTTTCTTTTTAGAGAAAACTTCCTAAGTTGAAATATTTCTCACTAACTTCATTTAGTTTTACACATCACTTTGATGAATACATTATTCCATTACTTCGTCGAATGATAAATCTTGAAGAATTAATATTATTTCTGTCAATGATAAGGACTGACTCAACTTTTGGTCGTACTGAATTATATAATCAAGTACTTGTTCACATGTCATACCTAAACAAATTCGTTTTCAGTATCAATACAGGTGTTCGTATTGTGAATAATGAAATTGATATATCATCAGACGAAGACATTCAAGATAGTTTCATTGGAAGAGAATATGGACAAGTTGGTTCATATGTGCATTTTGAACCAAGGACACCAGTAGATACAACCATCAATATTGAACGAGCAAAGGCTGTGGTTAAATCTCATATATATTCACTTCCATATCAATTCGAAAGTTTTTTTCACCTCAACAATTCTTTTCGGAGTGGCATGTTTGTTAATGTTAGATACTTAGTAATGACTGATTCATTTCCTTTTGAACATGAATTCGTCAAAATTACTTCTGATAGTTTTCCTTTTTTAAAAAACTTGAAGATATACAATTGCAAACCACAAAAAAAGAAGCAACATCCTTCAACAATAATTAATTTTCCTCATCTTAATCTTCTAAATCTTGTTAGCGCACATCATGATTATGCTGAACAATTTCTCGTCAATACGAACACTCATTTACCTTGTTTGTTGGATCTCTGCATCACATATGAATCACTCGAAGTTGTAACAAACAACTTCGCGAATGATACAACACGACTTTATTGTTCTAAACTAAAAGGACTTCATATAGATAAGCCATTTGTTCGGCCAAAACATTTCGATGAATATTTTCCTTTATTATTGCACATGTCGAAAGTCATTCAGAGATTTTTTTTTGAATAAAAGAAAGTAATCAATAAAATTGAAATATAATCAATAAACATGTTTAGGAAAATCTTCACAGATACTCAATATTATTTGTAGTATAAACTAAAGATTTTAAAATGAATATCCATATCTCAAAGTTATTCAATGAAACTGTACATAATAATATAGTTATCTCTGATAAAAGTCTTTTCTGAAAGATCTGAGTCAGTTGTTAAGGTGCGTAGCATCCTATATTGAGTTTATCCGCTAGTTTCTTTAAATTTTGAACATGTGATTATTGAACTTGCAAAAGAAATTATTCTGATTTTAACTTGTTATCGTTTATTTCAGATAAACAAAACATTTTTTTTAGGAACATAATTTCTTATTCATAACATATTGATCTGAATAAATGAAGATAGCTTTGAAAATAATTCTAATTCTATCGAATCACATCTATGTGTATTAGGTTTTTCGAATATGTTTTACAAATATCAGTACTAGTAATAATTTTACAAGTCTTGATTAGACTTGTTTGCTCTATTAACATTGATACTAATCATATCCATTCAATAGAACAAATCGATAATACTACTAATAATAATAGAATGGAAATCGATATTTCAGAACAAACTCCTACTGCAACATGTAAACCTTTTACATTAAAGAGAAAACAAAATGATATTATAGATGAAATAGAAATCATAAAAAAAACAACTACAATTGATCACGCATTTCTAATTCTAGCATTGTATCAAAAGTGCAAGTATAATCTTTAGAAACTTTAAATGATTAAGATGGTTAGAATTTTTACAGAATTCATGTATAATTCAAACAAATGATCCAACCAACGATTTCATTGATTTAAATCCTCTTAGTCGTTGAACTATTTCATTCAAGATTATTTGAAAGTGTTGCAGAACTTTTTGGCCAACCTAGTATTTAAAAAAATAAAGGTGCATAGAAAAAATAATTTCACGTATTTTAATGCACTTCGTATTTTATAAAATAATTTTAGCGTTAACTATTAGAATTAGAAAAGAAAATAACATTTTTACATTTGTACTAATTGATAGACTTCAATATCTCTTGTTCGAAAGGCTTTATTTCCAGTAAAAGTATTCGAGCCTTGATTTGTTGTATCAAAATATGAATGAGGAAAATTAATCGAACTATTTTTGTTTATATTACTATTATTGCAAATATATATATCATGACCAGCACCAAATGTGGGTCCATAACTTTTATGAGTATAAATGGCGTATGTAGACATTTTGTTAAAATATTTTGTTGGAGGAATTCCATGTGGATTCGTCAAAGTAAATAAAAATGGATGATTTGGATCATTTATATAATTTTTTAATGGAGCCCAAGACATTGATGTATAACCACCAAATAAATAACCGTTATCCTGTGATTGAATAATTGTTATTGTTGGACTTAGATTAGCACAACATCGATGAAAATCAGCAGTTGAAATCCATCTCGTGTTGCTTTGTAAATTAATGTCCAAGTTTGTCCTTGTTTACCATAAAATTCATTTAATTTTATCTGATGATCACGTGATAATAACGTACCATTACCTATAAATAACTTTTGATCGAGAAAAGTAATTTCTAAATTGATTGCGTTAACATTAACTTGAAAAAAATCAAACGATTTCAATTGTTCACATTGTTGACGATGTTCATCGATACTTCTTTTAATTTGTTCGATTTGTTTAAATGAAGCATCACCTTCATCCATTAATTCTTTTACTTGTAAACTTAATTCCCGTAGTTCTTTTATTTGATTAATAATCTTTTGACCAATATGAGCTTTCATTTGTTGTGTTTTCTCGATAAATATTTCATCAATACGTCGATGACTTTTCTCTCGCCATTGTTCAATTTGTTCAAAAGTAAAATCAGTCATACTAAATTCATTCAATGAATTAGCAATTGAATCTAATTCATCAGAAACAAAAGTAAGTTTAACATTTTCTGCTTTAATATGTTCAATATAATGTTTAGTACAGATATATCCTTGACAATGATCACAAAAAGTATCAGAATTACGTTTACAATTATCAATAGGACATTTTGATGAAGCCATTTTAAATCAAAAAACGAATCTAAAATATAAGATAATTAATATTTTATTTTTACAACTGTATATCAAAAAGAACGATCATGTTTATTTTTTCGTAGAAAAAAAAATATCTCAAAACTTGATCGATAGAAGAAAAACAAATTTTTATGATACTAGCCGATATATTTCAATATCAGATGTTTGAAATTGATTGCTTCCGGTAAAAGTAAGCATCCCTTTACCAGTAGTATCAATATATGATACAGGAAAATTAGAATAACTACCGGGGACTATATCACTTTCATTACATATATGAAGATCAAAACCTCCACCAAATGTTGGACCATATATAGAACTATGAACCATTGCATCCTCTATACTTTCTAATTTGATTGTATATCGTGTAGGTAAAATATTGTGTGGATTAATGAGAGTAAAAAGAAAAGGATTATTTTTATCTTCAGCATAATTTCCTGAAGAAGTCCATCCTTGTGATGTGTATCCACCAAAAAGATATTCATTTTCTTTTGATTGAATAATGGTAAGAGTTGGACCTTGATTATCTGAACAACGATGAAAATCTTCAGCTTTGAATCCATCACGTTTTGCTTTATATATTAACCGCCAATGTTGCCCTTTTATACCAATCCATTCATTTAATAGAATTTGATATTCAAGACGAAGAAGTGAACCACCTCCTGTAAAATAACTAAATTGTTTTGCTTTGATTACTAATGAATGATATATCAATTCTAATGGTTTATTTTCGAAATGAAAAAAGCCAGTTTTCTTTAAATTTGAACAACGTGTTTCAAGTGCTGTTATATCTTTTTTAATTTTTTCAACTTGTTGAAACGATGCATCCAATTGATCAGTATATTGTTGTACTAAAGTATTGAGTTTTTTCGAGATCATTGATTCCTCTTCCAATTTTAATTCAGAAAGTTTAGTTAGAGTTTTTCTTTTATCATCATAAAGCTCATCAATACGTTGATGACTTTCTACACGCCATTGTTCAAGTTGTTCCATAGCTAATTGAGAAATATGAGTTACATTGATTTCTTGTAGAGTATTTATGATAGTATTTAATTGATCAGCCAATGGAAGAAGTTCATCGTTTGTTAATTTAACATGCTCTAGATAATGTTTAGTACATACATGTTTATCACAATGTAAACATAGAGCATTAGCATCATTTTTACATTCTGAAGATGAACACATCGTCAATGCTATCGTATTTGTAGCCATTTTATATACAATTCTAAAACAAAACAAATAGAATAACTATTAAGATATTCATTTAAACATAAAATTATATTGATTAATGGATTTGAAGGTATATAAATTAAATTCCAATTTCCTTCTAACGTATTCATCAAAAAACGTACCATTCACGTGTAACGTAAGCGTATCACTTTGAAGCGTCATCTATTCTAAATTAGTGTACTGCAAGATTGATATTTTTACTCACGATCACGTTTACGAATTCTGTTAAATAAAATAGAAACCAACAAATAAAACTCGCTATATGAGCGGTCGAACGTTCTACTGATTGAATATGGACATTCATATTTTGAATAAAAACTTAAGCTTTTGGATGTATATGTCGTGCCGAAGTCTAACTTCGACAAAGAGTGTAACTTCGGCACGACAGTCATTATCTATAAGATGTGGAAAACTTAAAAACCGACTAAAAGTTTCTTTTCTTTGATAGACCTTGTCGATAGTCTACAAAACTATATACTTAAAAAATAATTCTCAGTCAAAGAAATCGATCAGTTTTATATCAGCTTAATCTTTTAGTTGAAAATATATTATTAGACTAGTTCGAAAAGTCATTTATTAATAAACTAACTTTTAATTAAAAATTTCTACTTTTCTCATTAATAAATTATGTATAGAACGTTTATTTTACCTGTATTCACATACTGTAATGATGTCTGCTACTAAATATATATATTTTTTATTTGATGTGACACCATTTAAGACGATTTAATCAACTTGTATTCATTTGTAAATTAGCATAAAATATAGTTTTATTTAAAAATTTTCTATATTGAATTATATTTCTATTTTTTAGTCCATGAGAATCTATAAAATTTCCTTCAAATTTCATAGGACATCATCACTCATATTAATCGATATTGGATTAATCACTTTTTTCATTTTATTTACATAAATATTTCATTCCTCGGTCGAAATAGGTTTTTTTTTCTTTTTATGAATGATCGTATGAGAGTATTTTGCTTGACAGCATATCAGCAACGCAATCCATAAGTGACATCAATCATTATATGTAACCATCAAAAAAAGAAAAAACTACGCGCATCTACTACACGTATTAATTAACGACACACCTGTGACATAAAATACATCGAAATTTTCAGTACGACAGTCTCGTCAGTAAGATAAATATTTTGTTATTATGTCTTTCGTCATGTTATATTATTGACAAAAATCATGAATGTTTTCTTTTTATATGAATCTGAAAAATTAAAATAATAACTTGTTTATAAAAATCAAACGTATATTCTTTAATTTATTTTTTATAAATTTAACAATTTTCTTTTTCTAAACAATAGATATTCAACATATACATCACGGCTATATTATTTATGTTTATCGTACGTTTTTCCTAATCGACATTAACCATATATATTATCCATGACTAAAACTACATCATCGAACAATTTACACACATTTGCCTATTGGACGATACACACATGACATTAAAATAGAAAAAATTGAATGATGATGCAAAGATCATACTATATGTATAGAATAGAAATCGAGAAAAAGTACGAAAGACAACAAAAATACGAATGATTAACAGCTAGATAGATTGATTACATACTCACACATGCCACCGTGAAAGAGATTTAAAGACAGAATACATACAAAAATAGAACATCTATACTGATTATACAATTGTGTATCAAAAGAAAAGAGTTGTTGGTTTTTTTGTTTTGTTTTGTTTTTTGGTATTGTTGATTATTTGTTAAATTATTTCGTGTTATATGATGTTAAACCCAAATTGTTTAATGTTCTTTGAAGTGTTGCTTGATCAGGAGCATTACGTACATGAACATTGGGTGGTGGTACAGGTATCGGTGGTAATACTTTAGTTAATAAAGTTGTCTAAAAGAAGATAACAAAATTCGTATTTTTTTGTTTTTAATTAAAAAGACTATTTCAATAATTACTGGAATATGTTTTGGTAGTGGTGGTGGTGCTTCACGAATCACAATGGGTGGTTGTTGTTGTGGTTGTGGTGGTTGTATACGAACAAAAAGTGGTGGTGGAACCGGTTCTGGAGGTGGACGAACCTTGAAATTTATATAAATGTGTCAAAAAAAAAATTTTATCAAAAAATTGTCACCTCTTTAATAATGACTGGACCGGGAGCTGGTGGTGCTGGTGGTTTATAGTAAGCTAAGTTAATTTTTTGTATATAAGTAATTGGTTTAGATTTTTTTTGAATAACAACTGGATTAGGATCATGAAAAAATCTATCATTGCCTGGTGTTTTTAATGGACCAAATACTTGAACAAAACCACCACCTGGTGTTTTAAATTGTAATGATGGATCATCAGCAAGACCAAATTGTGATGGTAAAATTCTTTGTGATGCATCACCATTCATTGCCGATGCAACAGGATCATTGACGACTGTACTAGTATATTGTGTTGGTGCTGCTAATGGTACTGGTTTTTGTGCAAGATTAAGCATTTCTTGTAGATGCACTGATGGATAACTAGTTTTAGTTCGATCAATGGCAACCATGATTATATGTTTATCAAGAATGAAAAACAAAAGATTTTACGAAATAAAAAGGAGGCAAACTATAAACCAACCAGCTTGAATAAAAAATGTATTCCTATACGAGTAAACATCGCCTTTTTATACTGTAGAGATAATCGAATATTCTCGAGGAGAAAAAAACGATGACAGTAGTCCTTTTTTTCTCTCTCTTTCAAGGCTGTTAATATCATTCACTATACTGTTAATTGATGAGTATCTATACGTATTCATACACAGATAAAACCTCACCTTGCCCTTTTTTTTTTATTTATCAAATGCATGCTGTTATATCCTTCACCTGAAGTATTCTTTATTTCTAATCAAAGTTAACCCGAACGTTTATTCATCCATGACTACAATAGAAAAATCATCCACAACATACCCACAAGTAGATTTACGAAATGAAGAAAACAAAATAAAAAAACACTTCCTATTTCGTTGTTAATAATATGTTAAATATCTCTTTGTAATCTATCGATCATATTAACACACACATAATGATTTGTAAACATGGTGTTTATCTATTGTGACAGTGACATAAAGAAAAAAACGAAACCTTGGTATTGTCTATAATCATCAGAAAAACATGTTAATGTCCTCTATTTGATTCATAAACAAAAAATGTCGTTATTCTTCAACATACGATGATAAGATTTTTATATATTTAATGCATATTAACAAATTTCATTTTTGTCTATACAAAAAAAAACGAAAAAGAAGAAATTGCGTCACAGCTCATTGCTTACAAGAAAAAGAAGACGACGACGCATGATGTTTCTAAAAAGAAAAATGAATCCTCATCAACAGCATATATATATTTTTTTATATGTTATTCGTCATTAATGATATTTGAGAGAGACGAATCTAATTACACGCAAAAAATAAAATTTCTAGACATGGTTGTTTATCACAGGTAATATGTGATGATGAAAACTAAAATGTTAATCAGACATAAATTTTCTTCGCTTTTTTTTCTTCGTCCATTATTATCAAAATTTGTATTATTTGTACGTTTCCATCGAGATAAATGATATTCCGATGACATTGGTGTTTCTTGATTACATTGAAGCCACCATTCAGATATTGGACGAGGATATGTTGGATAAGAATCATCAATCTTTGTTATAGAAAGAAAATAAATTGAAAGTAGGTTATAAAAAAAAATCTTGTTTTTTTTCGCTTTTTCTTACATGATGATTAATATGATCATATCGATAATAGAGTTGATGAGAAAAAAAATATGTTCGACCATTAATCCATTGTAATGCACTTGTTATTTTATCTCCTATATGTAACCAATTGGATACAAATTGAGGATAATCTATATCAATTGAAGAAATAAATTCCATATTCATATTTAAACGCCATATCATAGCATCTTTAATAAAATAGGTATGATTATCACCACTATAAACAAAAGCAGCATCAAGATGACCAGTAAAAAAATGTTGTTCATCAAGACCACGAAAACCATCACTTATTAGACGTGGATAACCAGTTTGTAATTGAAAACGAATTGTTTTCCAATAATATTTATCCTAAAATAAGAAGAAGAAAAATTTCAAATTATAAAAACAAAATGAAATAGTTGACTTTGAAAAAAAATATTTGTTGATTAGGCCATAGTAATGATGTATCTATATGATCAGGTAATGTTTGCCATATACCACCTTCCCAACGTCCAAATACATCACGAATTGGTCTTGGATAATCAATTTCCAATGATGATTTCGAACGTCGATAAACTAAATTATCTTTAAAAAATAAAATAAATATATATTTTGTTTTAGAAATTCTTATTTATCTACCTTTGAATATATATGTATCATCATCTATAATTGTAATAGCATCAAATTCAGGATCAAGACATAGAGCGGAATTTCTATTTGATGATTTAACCGATGGAGCCATTTGTTTTGCTACAGGTTGATAAGTTTCAATATTAGTAGATGAAAGAGAAGAATATGATTTTGATGGTTTTCCTCCTATTGTTATAAATAATAAATTTTTTTTCAAGATTATATTATCTATCAAAACGACATACCATATAATGCTTGAATAGCTCGAATATCATCTTCTTGTAATGTAAAATTTGGTGTATAACCTTTAAAAACTTTCAAAACAAAAGAAATATTTGATTTATTTTGCATATAGAAAAATAGCTCCTATATATATATACATACATGGTGCCATAATTGCTTCTGGTTTATTCGAATGTTCTAATCCTAATGAATGTCCAAATTCATGTGCAGCAACTTGAAAAAGATTAACACCATCTGTACCTATAAAATAATTCAATTAATTAGTAAAGTTGAATGTATGTATTTATTACTTTTTGTTGTCCAATATTCATCATTATCAAAATGAGCATCTCCACCATATTGAGGAAAAAATGCATGACCAAGTACATTTCCTGGACCATCAAATGGTTCTGTATCACCATGATCGCCAATTTCAAATGATATTCTAATATCTGTTTTACGATCTAAATGATTAGGTTTTAATTCATCCTGTTTTTTTAATTTTCGATGTTCAAATTCAAGACTTGATGAAGTACTCCATAACTAAATAAAGAATTATTAATAAAAAGAAAAAAACAAAAAAAAAGAGACCAACTTTTAAAGCTTTGGTTAATTCAGTATCAACAAATTGTTGTGGAAATGTTGTTGGATATTTAACTATACGAAATGTTAATGGTTCATTAGATGGCCAACGACTACCTGTATAAACAAAAGAAAAACAAAATTTCTTTTTATTGAGATAACTGAAAATTCAATATTATACCTTGTAGGATAAAACGTTTCCGTCTTTGAATACGTCGAAGATCTTTATTTCCACAACGAGGTTCACGCATTTTTTGCCAAGTTAATTCATCGATGATACCTGTTTGATTAAGACCAACAAAACGTTGAAATGCTCGAACAATTGATGGAGAAATATGTACTGATGAATCATTTAATTTTATATAACCAAAACGATTTAAAAATTCCTAAATATAAATAAAATCATATATGTATATATATATTCTTGAAGAATCTAATTTACTTTAGCATAGAATAAACGATTATGATCAACATTAGTTAAACAAATATGTAGATGTTGTAATAAGAAACTGATAAGAAGAAGAAGATCGAACGACACGACGATACGCATGTCCTCTTACAGGTGATGCTGCCATGAGCCACAACTGGTTGACAAGATAAAAAACAATGTGCGATTATTCAATCACACAAAACTATGTTGATCTCTTTATTTCCTCGTTCTAGTATTGTCCTATTTCAATCGAATAAGAAGAAGAAGAATGATCGATAGATTGTTGCTTAATTGAAATTCCTTATGATGAAATGAATGAATGTTATTTAATTTTATTCCCCTTTTTATAAAGTATGTATAGTATGAGCAAAACAAGGAAAGAGGATCTTATGTAATGAGTAATCAAACTCGGGGCGGCGACGTTTTTCTTTCTTTTTTCCTTTTTAGTACGTGTGTAAGTTGGGAGAGGCAATATCCTTACTAGTTAATCCCTACTCGCTATTCTCTCTCTCGTTCAATTTCTCTTCCTTCTATTTGACATATCCAATGCGATGACACGATTGTTCACCTTTTCGCACTCTTGATGATCTTTGCTTTGTGTGTGTATATCTATATCTAAATATATACATATATATATGTACATATGTTATTGTTCTAGTAGTTTGAAGGATCAGCTTATAAATATAATGAGAGCATATATTTCGTTTTTTTTGATATTTTTGAATATATTATGGATTAAATTGAAGAATGAAGATACAATTTCATGTAATACTATAGAGGATTAATTTGTTATTTTAATTTTGAAACAAAATTTTGACATTTTTATGATCTCTTTAAAATCATTTAATCCCAAAAAGTTTTGCCTTCTTTTATTATAATGAGCTTGTGTAAGAAAAAGAAAAAAAACTCTTAACATATGAGATTTTCTTTAATCTTCATTGAAGGTTTATATGCACTTTATATAATCGTACTACTTTCCATTGATTATACTTATTTGATTAATCAATTGATAGTTAGATTTAAACAAACATAGCTCTGCCGTTGTTTAATTCTATACATTCAATAACTATATAGATTTGTCTATGTCACAAAAAAACCAGAAACTACAAACAATATAAATCAATTATTGAATATAAATTAATGATAATAATATTCTGTAAGGTTAACGTGACATATTGATTAAGATCAATATACACAGAAGTCTTTTCTTATTTACGGAAGTTTTATAGAAAAATCAGCAAATCAAATTCTTTGAAAATATAGAAAACTATATATATATTTGTATTTAGTTAGATAATAGATTTCTATAGTTAGAAATAAAATAGCATTCTAAATTGATCTTATTCTTTCACTTCATTTGACACGACACTGACTGGCTTATTTTCTACGTTTTTTTTCTTCTTCTTGTTATTAAATATTGTCATCAGGCTTCATATTTTCGAGTTTTCTTTTTCAAACACGCACACATTAGTAACAGCACAAATTTTCTTTTAGCTTATTTTTTTTTCTTCTTTTCTACTCCAATTCGATTCGGTAACAAGAAGCGTATGCACACGCATGATGACCGAAGTACTATAAAAATATATAGATATAACGACGACAACTATATGGGTACGTTATCTATATCTTCTTAAACTACATAGAAGCTTATATTTAATTTATCATTATGTCAATTAGATTTTTGATTCGAATTATTTTTCAAATTGCTTAAATCTCGTTTTTTTCTATTTTAATAATACATAAATTTTAGCATTGATAAGTATTGATCGTAGATTTATAGTTATATTTGATTTAAATCGAATCATTATGAATTGATTGATGATTAAAAAATATTCATCATAAAGTATCTTTGATTTCACATCAATCATTCAAACTTTGACTCCTATTGGACATTCATTTTTAACAATGAATGTACTAGAGAATACCTATAAGAAATTCAAAAACTATTACCGTCAATTATTATTGTTTGTACATTCAAAGTCTTCTAATGTTCTACACTTATTTCTTTTTCAAATAATATATTCTCTTTCTCTTTAATAACTTGTTTTTTATGATTCATTTGTTGAATCGTATGTAACATTCTTTCCCAGACACTTACATATGTTATTGTGTGATTTTTTACTTTTATGAAATTTCTATACTGATGATGTCATAATAAATGGCTAACATTAAACACGCAATTCCTTTTTTCTATATGTATCTCTGTTTTTTTCTCCCATGCTCGTCATTTTTATTTTTTCATATACGTCGTTCGTCTAATTCATAGTCTATTATTTAATAATTACTATTATCTTCACAATCAGTCGGTACTAACACTATTATTAACTTAATTCTATGTTTATTTAATTATTTAGAAAGAAATATTCAAAAAAAATGATATTCAAGTTTTGAGTAAGACTAATTTTCATTTAATTTTTTAATATACTTAAGTTATTCATTTTTGCTCTCCTTCTAATATTACGACGTATAACGTAGTTATTTTTTTTAAGTAGCAAATGAAGTGACGGATTCAGTCATTTTTTCTTCCTTTCTTTTTTTTATCGTTAAAAATAGAAAGCTATCATATAAATCTATTGCGCACATCTGTAACTAGTGTTTACTGTTTACATATATACACTCATTTACTCATAACATTGATCATGGCAAATGTATCTATTAATAAACAAGTTGATGAATGGATGAATCTATTGAATTTAAAACCACATCCCGAAGGTGGTTTTTATGCTGAAACATATCGTTGTGATGATCAATGTACACTTGAACGATATGATAAACAGATACGTTCATGTTCAACATCAATTTATTTTTTACTTCAATATCCTGATTCACCCATAAGTCATTTTCATCGTATAAAAGCTGATGAAATGTGGCATTTTTATAAAGGTTTACCATTAATTATACATGTATTAGATGAAGAAAAATCTTCACACATTGAATATATACTCACTAATGAATTAAATATAAATCCTAATACTCGTCCACAACTCTTGGTACCTCATGGAAAATGGTTTGCCGCTGAAATAATTACAAAAGATATCAAAGATGAAAATAATAATTATACATTATGTGGATGTACTTGTGCACCAGGATTTGATTATCATGATTTTGAACTTGGCAAAAAATCAGAATTACTTGAAAAATTCCCAAATTTTAAAGAATTAATTACTCGTCTAACACCATCAGAATAATTATTTATTCTTTCGCTCTCTTGTGTGTCTGTTTTTTATTACTAATTTATAATTAGCTTAGAATCATCTGCGAAGATTTTTTAATGTAGTTTATGAATAATATAATCATGCTAAAAGAACTGCATCTTTAATTAATGTTTTCCAGAAGAAAGTAGTTACTTTGTTCTTTTTAGATTTATAGAAAATAAAACATTTGTTCATTGTATTGAAAAAGTCATAGAAAAACACAAAATTAGAAGAGTCTATAATTATTAGACGAAAGAAACATATGTCTGAGACGAGTAAGTTTTCAAAGTCTTAATTATTTTCTCCTATATCGATGATGAGTGTGTCTATATATTCTAGTTTTTATAAGTATAGAAATCAAGAGTTTTTATGAGGTCGCACTATATCAATATGAGATTTCAATTTCAGATGTCACTATTCTAATATCCAATCGAATTGACTTTATGTTTTCTAACATACAATCTAATAATAATACTTATATCGTCGTCGTACTATCTTCTGTGTTCTTTGAAAGAATCGAACGAGTTCTTTTCTTTCTTTCTTTTGTTGTTGTTGTTATTATTATTATTATTGTTATTGTTGTTATTCTTATTTCTTCTTTCTTTCATTCTTTTCTTTCTTTTCTTCGTCTATGAAATATATAAAACGAAGAGTGGGGAAAAAAAAGAAAAATAGTAAAGCGCATGCGCATGACTGGAAGAGAAACCTCCACATTATCATTACTTTTTTTTCTTTACTCGTTTTTGTTGTTGCTATTCTCCATTACGGTCGTCATCGCCATTATTCATTTTGTACAGTCAGACGTACATACATTAGATACACATATATAACTAACTAACTATGATAAAATAATATCTTCTACTCTTTTTTTGTCTTCTAGAAACAAAGAATAGAAATAAAAGCCATCGACAAGAAAAAAGAAATTAACTATGCATGTATCAAACTCGAATAATCATAATAATAATACTAATAATACCAATAATTCAAAAGTTTATTTAACTGATGACCAAGTAGATAAATTAAAACAAGTATTAGATCGTCCTATTCCAATATGTTCATCACCACCATCATCATCTCCAACATTAAATATAGTACCACGTTATTTTCTTCGACAAGTTGTACGTAAATTAAAACAATATTCAATTGATGTAACAAGTATTCGTTTAAATGGTGGTGCAGCATCCTATATACTTGTTAATGATTCCAATTTTGTTTATCGTGATATTGATATATTAATATTTATTAAAACTCCATTATCATCGGAACAAAAAACAACATTATTATCAACAAATAATGAACCATATTCATGTGATGTATGGACAATAATTAAATTTGTTATATGTTTATGTTTATTAGAAAATATTACAAATACAACATCAACAGAACATCAATATACTCATCATTATTTATCCACTGTTCTTGATACATATACAAAAAAAAATATTAAAATATCATCCGAACAAGATTCATGGGCATTATTATCTTTACAGAATTATTTTGGACAAAATCTTGAATTAAAATTTGTTGAACATCTTAAACGACAATGGCAATTTAGTGTTGATTCATTTCAAATTAATCTTGAACCATTATTATATGAAAAACAATTCAATAATCAATCTAAATTAACAACATCATCCATAATAAAAACAATTAAAACGAAATGTTTAGTTATTGATGCAATTAATGGTTTAACAATAATTAAAAAAGAATGTGGTGGTGATGATGACCAAAGTAATGAAGCAAAAAATTCAAATGAAATTAATCATCATCAAAATAATACCATATCAACAAGTACAAGTCCTTTACAATTTGGATTTTTTACACCATCATCATCACCGAATACAATTGATCAGAAAAATAATATTGAACATCAAACACTTGTAACAAATACAACAATTACAACATTAAATAATATTACTGATGGTAAGTAAAATATAGTTTGCTATTTGATATTAAATGGAATATAATTTATAAGAGAATACGATATATACATAAAGAAACTCATTTATTAGCGTTAAACACATACAAGTTTTGATTAATAGGTTATTTGACCGAGATTTCCTTTTACGGAGATGTAAACATATATATTTAACAGAATAAACACATCGCATATGGCACAATAACCGTAAGTCCATAAAATGTCAATGTTATGTTGAGAGAAATATGTGGTGTTAACTTTCGCATCCCTATTCACCAGACGAAACGCTTATTTTAATCAAACGAAAATAATATTTTTAGTTTACGACTAGATCGGTATTATAGGACATCGTATTTTAATGGTTATATATTTATTCATTGACCTAAAATTTCCGAAAGATATCGATTTGTCATAGGTCATTGAGAAAAGAACATTAACTTTACTGCACGAGTTTCATTTTCGTTTCCAATCAATTTATAATATTTCATCGGAACGACGCAGAAAATATGTTGAACCCACTTGTTTTTCATAATTGAGTACCTATCGAACTCATCTATTTTTATATTTCCTTAAACTAAAATTAAATACCTTAAATAGATACCTGAATAGAACACATAAAAATCTATTCATCGATATTGATAATAATAGACCATAAGTGATATAAATTGCGATTGAATATATGTAGAGGAAAAAATAGCATTTTATTGTGTAACACATGGTATGAGAAGAATATTTAAATATAGAACAAAAGACTTGAATAATATATAAGTGACATTTCAATTATCCATTTTGTCCTCCTCCTCCTCCTCCTCATGTACATCTATTTGCTTATCATGAATCTGTAAGATATTGAATTAAAAAGTTTAGTTTCGCTTTTCAATAGTCAATATGATAGTATCGGAATTTTGAAAAACAAGAAATATTGTTTATTCAACACTAAAACAATGAACAAAGTGATATGACGTAGTTTACAGTCTTCTAGTCTAAAATGCGAATCCGCCAATCATAACAGACGTTTGTCAATGATGTATTATAGACCGTAACCGATACCTTGACATCAATCTATTATAAACCATTATATACACCTGGCTGATGATTGTAGTCGCATGCCGTGACGTATATATGACGTTAATCATATCATTTATTATATAAGTGCATATGTATAAATTATCAAGAGAAGAATTCAGGAAAATAACGATTAAATAATAGTAGATGAATAGAATAGACTTTGAAATGTGTACAGTGTTATCTATTCTTAATGGCAACTATGTTGTATTTTGTATTTTAAATCCGCTAGAATTGTTCTAATAGCTTGTCCTTCTTCATAAGAGTAAAATATAGACAATGCTAATCACAACTGTGTTATATACAACCGTTTCATTCTCATCAATGAAGAGAAATTTTATACAATACAATAAAAATATGTTTTTTTTACAAATTTAAACTGAAATCTATCTAATATTATTTTTATCATTTTAGACATTTATGAATCTCGTTCACGTTCATCAAAAGGATCCATATCTACATTGAATAATGATTCAATAAATTCTTCTTCACTTCAATTTCATCTTTCATTAAATGATGATATCGATGATGGAATTGTTTCTGATGCTGATGATTCAGCAAATGAAGATGATGATCAGGTATTTCGTACTCCAGTTGATACAAGCAGTGGTCCATCTAGTCCATCAACAATTATTGCAATCGATATATCACCATCATCTTCACCTGTAGTTGAAGTTTATTCTGTTTATAATAATTTACAACAAGCACTTGATCATTTACAGAAAAAATTAATTGCAACTTATGCACCTGAATCAATGCGTGGTGGTGGTTTATTAGTAAATATTTTATTTTTAATTTATTCATTCTTATTGTTTTTATTTTCTCTATTTAGAAATTTTGTGATTTATTAGCACAAAATTATACAATTCATGATCAAGGAGATATGTTAGCTATGCAACGATATATGTGTTCCAGATTCTTTATTGATTATAAAACTATACCGGAACAAATGCATGTTGTTAATCAATATGTTTCAACACATTTCTTACCATTATCAATGACAAATATGGAACCATCATCAAATTCTTTAGCACAACGTCGAAATAATCAATCAAATCCAAAATCTTCTCAAGATCAAAATAATGTTAATAATGCACGACTTTGTTTATTATTTTTCGATCATTTATTATCAATTATTCAAATAAGTACAGTATGTTTAACTCATCATGATAAAGAAGCGACGTTAATGAATATTAATCAACTTAAACAATATTATCATTGTAAATGTGAATATTTATTTATTGGAGATAGTTATCATCAACAACGATATCATTCATATCAAAATTACAATCACAATCACAATCATTATAATAATCATCAACAATACTCCAGTTCATCATCGAATTCTAGTCGATCAGTATGTATTTTTTTGTCTTCTAATCATTCTTCAATAGGATATATAAGATAAGAATTTGCGTGAAAATATGCTTGACATAAAGTGTTTATATTGAATTACTGATAAAATTCTTTGGGATTTAGATTAAAAAAGTACTGGTAAAGTATGACTTGACAAATAACATACATACGAGAACCATACATTTTAGGAAAGGAGTTATATTCAACTCTGCAATGTTTGAAAGTTTATTTCATCGATAGTTTCAAATTTTATTTTGCTTATAAAGACAGTAATAATAATATATGAAATTTTCATAATAAATAAAGCTAATTGAAAAGCATATCAAAGAGTACCGCAAAATGAAAGAGGAACCATTGTGATTAATTTATCATGCACGGTTCTTTATTTTTGTTATTTAAATGTAAGCTATTTAAAAATTTTTGAGGGTTCAAAAGGACACCGTTGAATGTCATGACCATATTTTCAGATCTAAAATTAAATACATAGTCTTCTCGAATGATATAAAGGAAGTTGTGTTTACATCAATTTTTATTATGATTCACTATCACCCATCTTTCCGTAAGGACAACTTCAGCGGAGAGAGAAAATTCAGAGATCACATATATTGCAACTCATAAAAAGCGGAACAAAACAAGTTTTCACAGTAAACTGGTTCGAATGTTACTAAAGCTTAAGAGTTCATACGTTAATATATGATTTAATATTTCTATCATCATGTTTTCCAATACATATATAAATGATTCGTATATTCCACTTTGTTTTTTCTAGTCATCACCATCCAGATCATCAACGAATTCGTATAGATATTATCGACATAATAATAATGCTAACAATCAAAATAGTCATCGATATAACAATACAAATTATCGACATCATAATAATCAACGACAATTGATCAATTCGACATCATATCATCCTGGATCTCGTAATTATTCAAATAATTTTAATACGAATCATCAAGTAATATCAAATTATCATCAACGTCGACATCCATTGTGATTAAAAGTAACTAAATAATGATCGGGATATTTTTCTTCCTAGTTTTCAAAGAGAATCTAATATAATTGTTTGTTTTTTCTTCTTATTGTGAAACACTAGATTATATATATATATACATGTGAACTCTTACGATAATAAGTCCCACCTATTGTGTTACATAAAAAAAAAAAAAGAAATCTTATGATATCATAAAGAGAAAAGTAAAAAAAAACCCAGTTGAAATAAGTGACATAGATAGTTTCTTTTTTTTTTCGTTATTGTTGATAAAAAACATGATATTGATTTATCTAAAAGAAAAATTATATATCATGAAATTTTTGGAAAAAAAAAGACAAATGAAAGAAAAGAAAAAAAAAGTTACATAAAGTTTCTCAAACAAAAAAAAATCTGATTACGTTTATTGTTCTTGTTCTCTGTTCGTTTATTTGTTTCATCTTTTCTCTTTCGTTTGTTTATTAGAACATCATCATAATTATGACCGTTTTTTTTCTCTTGTCCTTAATTATTTTTATATATTGATAAACATATTGAAAGATCAGTGTCATTTTTTTTTGTTTGTTTAACTCTTGACATTCCTATATAAAAAAAAAGGAGAAACAATACCACTTTTTATGCGGTATTTCTCATGAAAAATACAATAAAAACTACGACATTTCTTTTCTATATATTTCTGTGTGTGTGTGTGAGTGAGTGTGTGTGTACTTCATGACGACTTGTATTGTTTCTTCTTGAATAGTATCGTTTCTTTCTACGTACTCTCTCTCTCTCTCTCTCTAAGCCTGGTGATGATCCTTCTTTAACATGTCTCTGAAAAGTATATATTTTTTTTTCCTTTGACGATTATGAACTTTTTCTTTCTGTATGTCTTTCGCTCGTTTTTCTTCACGTTCATGTATGATATATCATGTTTTTTCTCTTTCTTTTTCATGTGTGTGCTTTGTCGTTCTCGATGATTCTTTTTTTTTTGGTTATATTTGTGAAAAAAATGGCGATTAAAAAATAGACATACGGAAAGAAAAGTAACAATCAAGTTTATATTTGATATTCTATTTAAAAATAAGATTTAATATATACAACAGCAACATTTATTTTCTTTTATTACTATTCTTCTTTTAGAATATAAATTTGAAAATATTCATCTAAAACTAAATGATTTAAAGGAATAGATAAAAATATTAATTATGATAATGGCTTTGATTTGTTTATTGATATAAAGAATTTATATTAGAGTTGTTAATGTCTAAATAGCAAACGGACATGTTGACATAATTGTCATCAAATACTTTGGTACAATCAAAAATATGGTCTGTTCTGTCATGTATTTACTATTTTCATAGTATATCAATAGCATAAATGATTCTGGTTTAATGTAATAAAAAAAAAGATATTAATCCAACTATGAAGTATAATTTATATTTTATACTAAATATTAATAGCATTAATTTCATAATACATATATTATGCACCGTATAGTCCATAAAGGTCATATAATTATCAGACGATCGGTAATAGAAAGTATTGCTAATGGTTTTCACCTAGAATTTTACTCGAGAAGAAAAATATAGTAAAAAGATTTTTTTTAAAAGCATTTTAGGTTAATAATAGCTATTTAATGTCTTTTCTTCTTTATAAAAAAAAATTAAATAATCCAAAAAGAAAAACAACATCATCGCTTCAAGTATAGACTGTCTCGCAAAAGAAGAATAGTCTGTTTCTTTTAAATATATAATTGCCTTGTATAAACTGTAAATTCCGTGATTACTTTGAAAAATATTCTTCAAAGAAAAAAATAGAAAATTTATGTCTACTTATCTTTTAAAAAAGAATATTTGACCATGAAATAAAAGATATGTAATGTACATCATTTTTTTTTGAAAATATTCTCTTTATATTAAAAAATGGAATAGAAGAAAACAATTTGTATTGATAAAAAAAAAGAAGAAAAACTTTTGTTAGCATGAAAAGAAATGGCACACATCCATTAAGAATCAATTTTGACATGTTTGAAAGTCTATTCTATTGCTTTTATCGACGAACCAAATCGATCAACGACATGTGTCAAGAGTCAAACAAAGACACATAGACATACAATAGAAGAAAGCATCGATCTTGTCATTTACATCGATATAGACATTAGGGATCATATAAAAGGCCCATCACTTTGTCACTTATTGACAACACCAAACGTCAGCTGTCACATTTGTTCACAGATTTTGGATCAAATTGATATTCTATGTCGTTTCTGTAAGTTTCTATCTGATATATGATTTATTAGATGAGGATTTTGTGGTTTACATATTGATGTTAATTCATGATTTTCTAATCGATGATCAAAACGAAGTAAATGTTTGATATTTTGTGGTGATCGACGTAAATGCCAATGACGTCGTTTACGTTTTTGTGTATTAAATAACGAAAAACTTGAACAACAAGTACGTTCTTTGGAATTTTTTATACAATAACATTTGGAATAAGATGATGAACTAGATGAGGAAGACGATGCTGAATTCCATGAATACGTTCGCATAAATTGAAATGTTTGCGCTTGTTTTTGAATAGGACTTAAACTATTGCTATTCGAACAAATACGATTACGTTGTTGCATATGAAATGATGCTCGATGATGAGCAATAGCAGCAGCTATAAGATCTTCTTCATTTTGACTAAGAAGTGCAGACATTCCACCTGTATCACTTTCCGAATGAAATTGAGCAAGACGAAGTACTAATAAATTCAGCGATGAAGCCATTATAGCTAAACCAAATAATATAAATGATACAGTAAATATAAAATAACCCCAACGTGAATAAAGCGATTGACCAGTACGTTGCATATTAGCTAACGGAACAAAATCACCAAAACCTGATAATTAATCAAAAAAAAATAACTAAATAATTTACAAAAAAAAAGATAATTTAATTACCAATTGTCCAAAAAGTTACAAATGAATAATAAATAGATTCAAAATATGACCATTTTTCTTGTTTACAAAATACGAATGAACCACCAAGTACAAGCATTGTTGTCATACCAAATTCAACAGCAATTAATTCAAATCCCGAAACTTTATGATGACGAAAACCAAGTAAACGTTTTATACGTGATAATACAAAAGATATAATAGCATTTAATCGTTCACCTGCTGATTGAAACATAATTAAATTGAGTGGTCTATAATCACAAAGAAAAATTTTTCTAAAATCAATAATCTATAATATGTACATACACGCCAGCAACTGTATAAACCATACAAAAAATTTTACCACCAACTAAAAATATTGTCTCTTATTATTAAAGAAAAAAAAAATAAAAGATTTACATACTTGTCTTTGGAGTTGTATGTCCATAACCTAAATAAATAGATTTTATTTGAAATAGAATTTTGAAAACAAAATTACCAATAAGTGTTACAACTAATGTTGAAAAATAAAAGGCACCGGGAAATGTCCATTGTTTAGCTGTTCCGGTACGTACATGTCTATGTTCAAAAATAGTTGTTGTTAACATATGAAAAATAGTATCATTTTGAATTGTATCATTTTTATATAAAATTCGAGCCATTCGAATTCTCATTGCAGTACGTAGGCGAGCTTCTTCTTTTGATTCCACTAAAATATAAGATTATAAATAATTATTATATCATAAAAAGAAATCAAAACTTACAAGCATCAAATACAGCTGCACCAAACATTAAATAGGCAAGCACAATGAACATAAGTGCAAATGTGCGTACGTTTTGTGTACCGAAAATCATTCGATAGATGATGAATGGCTACCGAAGCCGAGAGTGATAAAACCTCACGACATTCAATAAGAGATTAACATTATAATTATGTAAACTTTCATCTAAACAATATTAAGAATGATAATAATGATAGTAATTCTTTAGTTGAAGTAGTATTTATGAACAACAAACTGTTTTTTCTTTCTTCTTCTATTTTCTTTTTTGACAGAATTTATCTCTTTCTCATTGTCGTGTCTGCTATTTTAAATAATGAAAAAATGTCACTCTACTCGTCATCAACCGTCGTAGAAGCCGAACAGTCACACATAAAGAATAGAAGAATAAAAAGAAAGACGAGAAGAAAAATAAGATAGAGAGAGCGAGAGGAGACAGAGCATTTTCCTTTACTTCTAGTGATAGCAACAATGATATATAAAAAAACTACCGAAAACACTTTTCTCCTCCTCCCTCTCTCTTTCTCTTCTTTTTTCGGTATATTCCTTTTTGTTAGTATTAGGAAAAGTGATGACGGTTCTCTTATGTATTTATATGGACACTTACGGTGCTCTAATTATATAATAAATGACATTTTTGCGTCAATTTATCCTCCTGCTTCTGTAAATATATACACCATTCATTATGATTAGATATTACTGTTTGTCAATACATTCTTATCTTAATTAGATACCGTGCAATCAATCATAAAATATGTTGTGCATTCGTCCATTTACATACAAACACGAATATTCTCAGAATAACACGAGTTAAATTCCACATAATGGTTGTCTTAAGCATATGTTTACTACGGAAAAATTTTTTGTTATATAAGATCTTGTCTATGTGTTAATTCTTTTATAAATTAAAGAAGTGACATAAAAGAAATGAATTATATTCTATGACGTATATGTTTCGAATGTTCATACTCAAAAAGTCATTTACTTCTCGTTTTTCACTAACATACCAAGTAGTCAACGATAACCTGTTAAGTATTATCAAGAGAAAAGAAACAACAATAACAAAAAAAAAAAAATTTGTCATTTTCTTAGTTGATCTACTCGTTACACTCTTTGAAAAAATAATTTCATTATATATATACAAGTAAATTTCTTCTAGTATCTTTCTAATCAAATCATTTGAATACATTATAATCAAGTATCTAAGCGTGTATATTAACTAACACTATTAGAAATTTTATAATCTATTGAAAAAAAAGAATAAATTCAATTATATATATATAAATTTATATGGCGTAGAAAACTTTAAAATATTTATCGCATACTCTAATCACTGTAAAAATCATAAGGGAAATTGATGCGTTAGTTCATCGAATCTACAATAGAAAACATTGTGTGTCATTTCCCAGTAGTAATGCGCTTCATTTTCTAGATATATATATATATATATATTCATATATTTAGTTAAGGAAGCTAATCAACAATAGAATACAAAAGCGCGCATGTCCACTCTTGCATGCGTGCTTGATTTTTTATCTTCTAACTTAATATAAATTTTCTTTTACCATCATCAATCCTTTTTTCCATAGATTTCTAGTTTTAGTTTTCTATAATTCTAATACTCATTTGATTAATACAATGGATAGCATGTTGATTATATATAATTCCATTATAGGTCATATAGTTTGAAAAAACAATAAGATAATTTAAATTAACTAACATATATATATATAAAAGAAAAAGATTAAACTAAGATTATATTATAAATAATTAATTAACATCAATGAATAGAAATCACAAATTGTATTTCTTATGGGTTCTTTTTAATCTTTGTTCTTTCTAACTGAAAGAATCCATCGTACTTAATTGTATTTCTAATACACATGATTACTTATATCAACAAAAAAACAAAGTGAACAGCGGAAAAATACATATATGAATATACATACGTATATACATGAATGTCGAGAACAATTCTAATAGTTGACATCTTCGGATTTCTTTTTTTTCCTTTTATTCAAGCTTAATAGATTCTTGTAGTTACATATATATGATAAAAATAGAATGACGAATAGAAAACTTACAATTCCGATTCGCTCAAGTAGTACGCCGATTCAAGATGATGCACATTACATACTTAGTTTTTCAATATAATATAAAGATTTTGTAAAAAATCACTAATATTTTTTATAGATATATATATATATATAAGAGAAAGAATTTCCATTTATTGATTTTTTTTCTTTAGCGCTTATATTAACATACCTAATTTTTCAGAACAAAAAAGAAAAGCTCGTTCTCTCTCTCTCAACTTTTCTGTTTTTCTATTCGTTATTATAATGAATGTGACAGCTGTTATGGATTCTATCAACAAAAAACAGACACATACTAGTATAAAACGTACTTATTCTATAAATAAACAAAATATGACAACGAAATATCCAAGAACAACAGAACAAGATATAAGAACAAATTTTATTAATAAGATCAATGTTCGTGATTATTTTTTACATGAACGAATATTTTCTAATATTAAAATAAAACTAAATGAACAAATAATTTGGTGTGATAAAGCTTTATTAGCAGCTGCATCACCTATTCTATGCGAACAGCTTTTAAAAAATGATGAAATTTTATTATTAAATGATATTAATCTAGATGATTTTCTATTGATGCTGGAATTTATCTATCCATTATTTAATCCTGAAATTAATCAACAGAATATATCATGTCTTATAAAACTATCACATCGATTTCAATTTAGTAAATTGAAATTAAGATTTGATTTCATAGAAGAAAATTCTATTGTAGACATTCTTCAACATGCTTGTCAATATTATGTCATGAAATATTTGAGCACGATACGACAGATTATTGGTAAATGTAATCATTTAGAAACGGAAGATGATTGCTTTGATAGTAATCATAATGATACCTATAGAAAAAAATCTGATCTCATGTAAGTCTCGATTATGCTTGTATTCTATCAATAATGATTTGCTTTATTTCTTTTTCTAATTAATCTATATTAAATTTATTCAGTGAATTTCATGATGGCACATGTGTTGATGCTTATGGTATCATATTAAATTTATGCCAATGGCTTCAAACATATTTTTATGACGACAATATAATTATCATACAATCAAGTAAATAATATTGTTTTGTAATCTTTTTCTTTTTTATAATTACGTCCTTGTTATTTTTCTAGTTGTTTATATTCTACAACAGATATCAGTTGAAAACCTCGAACAAATAATAAACTTAGTTGACATTAATGATAAGATCAAAGTGTATATATACAAAAAACGAGTACAATATTTAGAAGACTTACATCAAATAAAACATATTGCATGACAATTTACTTCAGTTATTTTTTATTAATAAACGAAATATGACATAATCTACGTTTTTCTTTTTTCTTTCTTTTTTTCTTCTCCTTTTTATTTAACTGATATCTACTTAGACAGTCAAAATGAATTAATTCAGGAAATAAACATTCTAATGACAGGAAAAGGGCACGAGGGTCGTTGTTTTTTTTATAAAGAAAAGTAATGTACCATACATTCTTTTCTTTTCCGGCCTTTTTTTCTTTTACGTATAAACGGATTAATATCAGATAAAGTTTTTTCTATAGACGAATAAGAAAATTATAATTAATCCATACTAGTAAAAGAAAAAGTCTATTAATTAATCAATGAAACGTCATATACTCATTTATATTATTGGCAATTAGTTATTTTTGACATATATATATAGATGTTAGATAAAAATTATAAATACATGCGATGATGTACTTGTTAATTGGAAGATAGATATTTTATTTATTTATATACAAAATATAGAAAAATGAAAAAGAAAGTTTTTTTTGTACAAATCAATTAAGTAAATTCTGTATAAATATCATCATTCATCATTGGTGAATAACTTCTTTTAAAACAATTTTTATATTGACATATCCATATAGATAATGTTTCATTAGATATTTTATCACAAAATGATAAATCAAGAAATTCCAAATATAAACAACGTGTTAATATAGATTCAATACTTGTTTCAACGATTATACTCGAGCCAAGTAAATCAAGTTGACGTAACTGAAGACAATGTTCACTAACTGCTAGTATATCTTCATTATTAACACCTAGATTTTTTTTTAAAATAATGAATCAGATGGTAATATCAATTTAAACTTACGTCGACAAGCTGTTAAGAACAGTTTAATTAATGAATGTCCAATTTGTTGAACAAAACTTTTTATAAAACCTGGCGGAGGATCAGTCCATCCAAGATCGACTTCACTCAAATATTTTATATGCATTATTGTATTAATTTCAATAGGCATATTAACACTTGAATAAATAAGAGCTAATTCTTCTTGTTCATCTTTTGATAAATTTAATATTCGTCGTTTTTCTTCTCCAATATCAAATGGTAAACCAATTACTGATAAAAATCCATTCTGAGTTAAACCACATGTACGCCATAGATCAATAGAACGAAGATTTGAACAACGAGCAAATAATAATTTAAGTATACCAATAGGATCATTTAAATTTTGACAACTACCTTAAAAATAAAAATAAATTATATATAAACGAAAGTTCAAAAAAACATTTTACCTAAATTAATATTTTCTAAATATTTTTTATTATTATCAATAAATGGTAATAAAGTTCTATAATCAATTTTTGTTCTATAAACATTTAATATTCGTATATGATTGAGGTATTTTAATGGTATAAAATCGAGATTATTTAATGAAAAACAATTTTCTAGATTTAATACTTCAATATTTGGACAATAATTAACAATTATTTTAATATATTGTCCAGTTAAATATTGACAACAGGCTAGATTAAGCTGAACAAGATTATTCGAACAAATATTTAATAATTGATTAAATGATGAACATTGTATTGATTTAGTCCATGCTAATGAAAGATAACGTGTTTGAATACAATGATATCGAAAAAAATTTTCAATGGAATAATTTGTTATACCATTCCAATAGGGTTGTAAATTAAGTGATTGAAATTGTAATGAATCAAGACATTGACGATGTAATAAATGACATGTTGATGATAAACGAACTAATGAACGTAAATCAAGATAAGAACAAATTATAAATAAAATATCAAATGGAAGTTTGGTTAAATTAGCTGAATAATTCTTTTCGTCAGATTCATTTTCCTGAATTATCTAAAATAGAAAAACTCTATTGTCAAAATCAAATAATAAATATAACTAACTGTTGTAGAAGATGGAATATGTTGAGTATCTTCAATTACGATTGAATTCGTTGGCGAAATTTTTCCAGATAAAATAACTGTATCAATTTCTGAATAATAATTAGCAGTACTATGATCGAATTCCAGACGAATTAATCGTGTTGGAAATGTAAATTTATCTTTTAATGGAATTTTAACTATACGTGGTAAACGAGCAGCAGGTGGGTTCGTATGATGTGTATGAAATTTTGATTTTTGTCTATTATCAGTATTTAAACGTAAGGATGGAACAATAGAATCTGTATTGATATGATCTGGAAATAAATCATCGATTGTTTGACGACCTAAAATTCAAAAATGTCTACTATAAATAATCAATTAATTGAAGAACTCTACGACTGTCGCAGATAAAAACTTCTGAAGGATCAATAATATCCTTGATAAATTTTACAATGATTATAAAATACGAACTCTTGATTTAGAAAGAGAGGAGTTTATAACTATAATAATGTAATATATCATTGATGAGATAGAAAACAAATTTCTTCACATTAATTTGAGAACTAGTGTGAAATTACCGTGTTCTTGTATGTATAGTTAATCAACAGACAGAATCTAACATATATAGTTTCAATCGATATTTTAATAACATTTAACAAAAATTTCAAGCACAGTAGGCGTATTCATTTCAGCAGAAAAATTACAAAGTTATCGATATCGAATCAATTTAGAAATGATCTTACCATTTTCAATAAAAATTTCTTCATTATCACATAATATAATACTAAATGGTTGAGGAAAAGACCATATACGATGCCATGTAACATTTCCATATTCATCTTCTTTTCCAACATAAACAACTTCAAGTGTACCTGGATTATATGTTTCATAAATATTTAAACTAATACATTCATAAACAAAATCTTTATATTCAATATCAATAAAATCTCGACTAGTAAAATTATTTTCCCAACGTATAAAATTTTTTATTGTTTCTTTATACGACGGCATATTAATCCACCATGGACCATATGTACGAAAAACTAATGCATGGGTTGAATCACCATATAATGGATAGATTTCAGCATGTGAACATATATTTGATACAACATAACTATCACTACGATTTGATCCATATTGTGATGAAAAATCACGTATAGCTATTGGAGTTTGTTCTGTTAATGTATTGTTATTTGTTGATAAAATTTCTGATTGAATGCTATCATCATTTGTACATATATTTTCATTGGTATCGTTTAAATTTAATAAATTTACTAATTGATTACGTAATAAATATAATCCAGTACATGTTAATATCATGATGTCCTATGATGTGAATGTATATATATATATATATTATTTACAAAGACAAGAAATCTAAATTTAACCTTCAGTAAATTAAACTTGTCCTTCGTTAGGTTGTTAATATATTTTTTTCTGCCTCTTCCTCTCTCGATGTGTCATATGAAATAGATGAGCAATCTGTCTGATGTACATATTATTCATATACATATTATGAGAAAAGAAAAAAAATAAGAAATTGCGGGGACACTAATGTCTCATTACTACTATTCGAAATTATAAATGAAAATGAAAAGAAAGAAAAAATCATTCATGTGTTTCCTTACATATACTAAGGTATAAAAGGACCGTTGTATAGACATTGAAAGATACTAGTTTAAATTATCTTCATCATGGCAACAAAAAAATCTAATGATGAAAGTTTTGTTGAAAGAGATGAGGTTCTCTTTCCAGATGAAGATCTTGTCGATGTCGAACCACTTTATAAGAATTTTGCTACTATACAAAATGAATTAAATAATGTAAGTTATAATTTAATTTATTCGAATAAAAACTAGAATAATATTACGTATTTCTTTTTTATTATTTTTAGTCGACTCATAATCGTAGTCATTCAAGCGATAATCGATATCGTGCTGTTCGTACTCAAATCGAATCATCATTATTACGTCATTCACAATCTGATGATCAACTTAGTATAAATTCGGAATATTCATCAAGTTCATTTACTATTCCTATAAGTATTCAATCGAAGAAGATCGATGGACATATATTTAATTTATCACAAATTGTTCAAGATATCGGTTATAAAAAATCGACACCGATTACAAGTTCTACATTAGATCCAAATACAAAAAATGTTAGTGCATTATTGAATATAGTCTTAAAAGCAGGTGGTGCTCATGGACCACTTGTGAATGTTTGGCGTTCACGTATAACTGATGAATATTTTCAAAGATGGTATCTTGAAAAATATTATCAACGTTCTGCATCATTGCCTCGATATAATACAAATGAGAAAATGACACAAAATACACGAGCTCGTGATGATTATAAATCAAATACCTATATGAATAATTTTCGATTACCACCAACAACAACAACAAATCAAGTGAATAATCAAAATCATTATGAAAGTGAAGTACAAAAAATCTATGGATACGATGATGCAGATGTAACTACAGCTAGTATAGCATCAAGTCATTCATCATCGAATGATACAATATCTCATACGAAAGAACAAAGATCATCATCAATAACATCAATTCTTAAAAAATCTAGTAATAGTAATAATACTCCTACTACTGGTCAAACTCCACCAATAAAACATCATGTTACTATTCGTGAACGTCATTCATCTTTTGAATCTGATCAATCAATATCATCACAACAATTGAATACTGATGATATGAATCTGTTATCTGAGAGTCGACAATATCAGAAGAGTCAAACAGATAGTCAAGAATTTGAGAATATTCCATCACCATATGATCATTTTGAAAAAACAACTCCAATAGATTATTCACAAATTCAACAAACGAATTATGATATACGTAGTGAATTAAATACTAATAGTAATCCTATTCTATCAGAATATCAACAAGTTTTACAAACTCATCCTGATGTACATCATGATCCAAATCCAGAAATAATTTCAAAACCAAATCCGACACATCAAGTAACATATGAACAAAATATTTCACTTCGATATCTTGTTCCACCAACACCTCCACCACCAGGACCATTAATTATTCGAGGTAGAAATTGTTTTTATATTCAAAAAGAAATTTTATTTATTTTTTTTTTTGATTTATCTAGAAATTCTTCCGCCACGTATACCAACACCACCACCATTCATAGTTAAAGTTCCAGAAACAATTCCTCAAACTCCTCCACCACTTATTCTTCGAGAAGCTCCACCACCACCACCTCCTCATCAAGAAACAACATTTGTAACTAAAATGCTACCGCCTGAACTTCCACCAGCACGATGTGTGGTATATGAGCATGCTCCACCAGTATGATAAACTTTTATTCTATAATTTAATATTTATTAATTCCTACTCTTTAGTTACCTCCAAAACCTCAATCAATTATTATTGAAAAATGGTTACCTTATAAACCAGCACCTCCACGAGAAGTTATAGTCGAACGTATAACTGAAAAACCAGTTCTAACAGAATTTGAACCAGGTGCTATTACTTATGAACGACAACGTCGTCATTCAGCTGAATTTCATACTGATTCATCACGGCTAGAAATACCAATTAATATGTCAAGACAAAAATCTGTTGATCATCTAGCTAGAGAACAAATGGCTCAACAACCATCAGGAACATTTGATGAATTAGTATGGACAACCCATCAACAAATCTTAGCTATGCAACAACGAGGTAGAGAACAAGTACAAGCAAGTCAACAATGGGCAGCTAATCAATGGCAACAACATCAAAATATGTTTATGCAATATCCAACTCATTTAACAACACCAACTTTAGTTGTTTGCCATCCTCCTGTTACTACAAATGCACCAACGGCATATATACAAACAGAAGAATATCGAGAACAACGAGTATTTTATAATCCAAAAATAATTTATCCTTTTCATTAATTTAGATTTTAAATATACATGCATGTTTTACTTTTTTTGTACAAAAAAAATTTTTCTAATTTAATATTAAACTCTATTATTTTTATAATAAACTTAAATATGAGAAATAATTTAGTCATGACAAGAAAATAATTTAAATTACTTACGATTCATATATAATGGCTTATTTGACAATTCTAAATTCTAATACAGATATATAGTCATCTGTTCAGACTCATACCTTTTTTCCCTATTCGTTGATATTTCCACCAATCAGAAAAATATTATTTATTTATACATTCGCATGTGCTTTCGTTAATCATATGCGAAATAAGTAAATAAATGATATTAACAAAATTTCTCAAGAAATGTTTTCTTCCAACAGTATAACATATCTATTTATTAGTCTGTGTTAAGTTTTAAACTTTATGTATTTATCTAGGTAAAAAATACATCTATAACTATTAGAGGAATCTCATTTGGTGTTCCACAACAATCTCCATGTACAGATCGACGTTTTCTTCATTATACATTAAAAATAACAGATCGTTTAGAAACAAAAAAATTCTTCTGTGATATATTAGGTATGAATATTCTTCGTCATGAAGAAATGGATTCAGGTTGTTCGGCGCAATGTAATGGTAATTTTGAATCTCCATGGTCAAAAACAGTCGCTAGTTATGGTGATGAACATTCATATTTTGCTTTCGAATTAAATTATAATTATGATGTGCAAGGTTATAAATATGGAAATGATTTCGCATCGATTACAATTCATAATCGACAAGCTGTTATTAATGCACAGAAATATTTTGATCAATCCAAAATTATCTCAGATAAACAATCATTAATAATTAGTTCACCTGATGGTCATCGTTTTATTTTAGTTGATAAAGATGTGGGAAAAAATGAAGATCCTGTCAAATGTCTTTCATTAAATGTATTCAATTTAGATAAATCTATTGAATATTATACAAAATTATTGAATATGAATATCGTTAAGGATTCATCGGATGAAAAACGTGTTAAACTTAGTTATGATGTTAAAGATAAATCGAAATCACAGTATGATTTTCGTCTTGATCAACAATGTCAACTTGAATTAATTGAAATTAAGAAAGAAATTGATCGAGGAACTGGTTATGGAAGAAAAGCTTTTAGTTGTCCAGTTAAAGATATTGATACTATAGAAAATTTAATTGAAAAAGAAGGTTATAAAATACTTATTCCAAAAATGAAATTAGGTGGTTTATTAGATTTTAATAAGAATACCGTTATTATTTTATCCGATCCTGATGGACATGAAGTAAGATTATTTATTCTTATTTTGAAAAAAAAAACAATCTTTATTTAGGTATGTTTTGTTGGTGAAGAAAATTATTCCAAGACATGTGAAATCGATAGTGATGCTAAAAATAAGTTTAATAAAAATTTAAAAAATCCTTCGAAAAATCCAGAGAAGTATGAAATAGGTGAAGATAAATCTACAAAGCACGAAGATAAATAATCAATTCTTTTCAATTATTTTTAATCTAGCAATATATATACATATTTTATTCTATTAACATATTAATTTACTAACACATCAATGATATTTTATAGTATTTTGATTTATTTCTAGATGGAACAAAATTCTATTTTAGAATTAGAAAATGAACTTAATAATATTGATGTTGATAGTATTAAATTAGATGCTATTATACAATTGAAAACATGGCAAAAGAAAATGTATTCGTTAATAAATAAAACTTATACAAATCGTATGCATGAAATAGATTCAATTGCATCGAATTTAACAAATGAAGTAAAAGAAAAACAAAATCAATTTGAAAATTGTCATATTGATGATGAAAAAAGCGTTTTACAATTAAAAAATGATATTGATTTATTAAAATCGAAGATTAATATTATTGAATCTGTTCCGGATAATTTTGAACAACGTATTGAACAAACGATTCGTATTGTACATAATAATGAAAATGATGATGAAGAATTCGTCGAAGATGATGATGAACCAGTTATTGTTGAATTTGATAGACATGAAGTACGAGCTGGAAATCAAATTGTTGTAATGGCAGCTGCACCGGTGACCAAAGAAGAAGGACGAGTATCAAAAGTGTTTAATTCACAACCAGTTCAACATGCACTTGCTGTTGGTTTAGCAAAAACTTTGGCTAATATGGGTACAGTTGCAGCAACTAGTACTGCAACTGTTGCTGCTACAACAATGGCAAAAACAGCTTTAATAGCTACAGCATGCGGTATAGGTACAGTAGCTTATACAGCTGGAAGAATTGCAATGGGAACAACAAGAAGAGTTTGGTCATTCGTTGTTACATCCGAAGAATAAAACATTGACAGTATTCTTTTATGTATATTTTGTATGATTAATTTTTTTTTGCGAACAGATCTTTCGATATAAATATATATATAATAATTCTAGAGGATTGCTATTTTGCATGTATCATTTCTTTGATTGGTTTTTCTTTTTTTTGTAGATTTTTATGGCTGAAACAAGTGAACATATTCATCCAATTCTTGATATAAATACAAAGAATGTTAATATCGAAATAGCAGGTAGTCATTTTATTTAATAAGTGTGATAAAAGTTTAGGCATATTTTTCTAAAAAAAGTATTAATGATAGTATATAATATGGTCGACGATGTATGTATTTTAATGTCTAAATTATTCTAGCTCGTGAACCATGGCCAACCAATGCATGTCTTTATGTCCCACTGAAAGAACAAATGGTTATTTGGGCACCAAATTGTTTAGCTACATTATGTCTATTACGTAAAGTACGTGTTCCATCTTTACATATTGAACATGTTCGTAATGCTGCTGAAATGTCAAATTATGGTAAAAATATCGATATAAGTTATTGTTTAATCGTTAAATTATTTGTTATAGGTATTCCACCAGTATTAACATTGAATAATCGTGTATTTAGTGAATTTGATGAAATAGCTAATTTAATTGAACTTAAAGTAAATCTTTCTTTGAAAATTATTCTTTATTTTTTTGTTATCAATTCATAGGGATTACTTCCGTTAGATAATGGAGAAAACTCAATGGCAGATAGTTATTCAATATTATGTACTGAAACACTTGGAACTCTAATGGTTTATATCATAATATGGGATTTTCTTTGTAAATTTATTTGTTTTTTTTTAGAAATATTTTTTGTTGTGTGAAAAAGCTGGAACGGTTAGTTTAAATAGAATTGTTAACATATTATTCCATTGTATTATATTATTCTTAGACTGTATATCAATCATTTATATCTGTTTATCCTTGGCCTCTTGGTTTAATTCTTTATTTAATCTATCGAAAACATACAATTAAAATTTTAAAAGTAAAAGAAATTTGGTCTTTAACATATGAACAAGTATAATAACTTATTTATGAGAATAAATAATTTCAAAAAATTTTATTTTTAGGCTGTAATGAAATTTGAAACAACTGTTAAAGCTCTTTCGGATAAAATCCAACAAAATAATTCAACATATCTATTTGGTGATAAGTATGTATTGATATAACGATCTATATCATATGTAATTCCATTATTTATTTTCAAGTTTTACAAAAGCTGATGCTCATCTTTATGGTCATTTATATTCTATTCTTCATACAAAAATTACTGAACATGAAGATATACGAAATATACTTCTTACATTAAAACCATTAGTTGATTATGTGAATAATATCGAAAGGGATGTACATGGATTATCTCTTTTAGTCTCATAATATTGTTTTTCTTTTGTTTCCTTTTCTTGAATACAGACTAGACTCATTTTTGTTTAATATATATGATCCTATTTAGTCATAAACATTTGTTTTGCATAGAATATAGTTTAATAAACTTTATTTTTGTTTAAAATGGTATTAAACTATCTTTATTTTCGTGGATGATAATAAAAAATGGGCATACAATTGTTCACTAGTGACATCTGAAAATATTATTTCTATTGGTTGAAATGTTTATTAGCTATGCATCCAATCAATAATAAGATAAACAATGTAAATAAATAAAAATATAGCTGGCATCGTCGAGAAGAAGAAAAATATCGATTAAATCTAATTTTCTTCTCGTTCTTATTCCGTTCAAAATCGATTCATTTATTTTCTTTTTTTCCACTAAAGACATACTCTTATCTATTCAATAAAAATAAAAACAATGGCATTCGACGATCCATTTAACACTAGCAATGTATCCATCAATGATGATACTCCCAATAGTTTCGATAATTTCAATGATGAAGATCCAGCTGCTGAATTTCTAGAACGAGAACAACGAGAATTAGGTGATATAACAGGTAACAATGGTATTAATGCATTTGAAGATCCATTCAATACAGATAGTGTATCATTAACAAACGGTATCTATCATCATATATTTTTCTATTTTAATATAAATTATTGTTTGTATTAGGTGCACATTCACCAGCTATCAATACAAATGGTAGTATTTCACCAAATCCATCTAGTCAAAATGGTGATCAATATCAAGCATTATCACAATTGAACGAACCGGAAACAATTTTAAAATGGCGAGAAGAATTTTCTACACGTATTAATAAAAAAGATACAGAAGAAGAAGTTAAGCGTAAAGAAATGCGTGAACAAGCTAAAAAAGAATTAGATGATTTTTATAAACAACGTGTCGAACAAATGGAACGTGTTAAAGGAGAAAATCGTTTAAATAATCGTACATTAGAAGATGATCTTTTTAGTAATGGTAATAATTCGACATCCAATGGAAAAATAAATGATTGGGATAAAATAACAAGTTTATGCGAATTTAATCCAAAAAATAATCGTTCACAAAAAGATTTAACACGTTATAGAAGTGTTTTACTTCAATTGAAACAACAACAACAAACAAGTGCAAAATAAATTTTCAATTTTAAATAAAAATAATCTATGATCATTTTTTAACTTCCTTGATCTATACACATATAATCTTGATTTTATGCATGTATAATCGTCGTTGTCTGTATTTGATATTATTTTTTTTCTTCATTCCATTAGAACTACCAAAATCGCGGACACGTCGTATCTGATCTATTTATTATCTCGCATTGTTTATTTTCAATGTGTATTCATATATAAATTTTTTTGTATGATCTGATTTTTTTCTCTCTTCACCTCTAGTTGCTCTTGGATACTTTTTTCTGTTGTTCGTTATTATATTGTTGTTTGTTATTAAACCACCATTTCCCAACTCGATGTTTAACATTTTTTGTCTTTTTTCTTTGCTTCGCGATATACAACATAAAATTATTTATTCAATCTTTTAGATATTTTATCCTAATGAGTGTCGTAAATCTAGTCCGATATTGTTCGGTGACATCGAGATTGAGTTATTTTACAGCAAGATCTTTATTAACAGTAGAATCAACTAATTGTATGTAAAATACTAAGATTGATTATAATCAATATGAAAATATTTTATATGTAGGCGATGCTCGACGACATGCTGGTCATGCTCATTGGCAAAATATTGCAAAGACTAAATCTGCTAATGATCAACTCAAAGGACGTGTTATAGGAAAATTATCCAGTAAAATCGTTACAGCTATTAAACGTATGTATTTGTAAAGATTTGATAATCTACGATAGAGTACATCTAGTAGGAAATACATTACAAATCAATAATAAAGGACTTATAAATACAGTAGTGGCCAAAATTATAAGAACAAGCATTTCTTTCTTTTGTTCATTTTATTTTATAGTACTTTTTGTCTACCTGAAATAGTGTAAGTATCTATTTTGACGTGCTCTATCGGAATCTGAGATCAGATTTCCTTCTATTGAATGTAAAGTTGGAGCTAGTCCAAGCTTACTAAAAATCACGATTTTTGGCTAAGAACTGGAAAATGGCAGTTTACTAGTCTTTTTGGTTGAGTAATAAAAATTGTTTTAAATTCGAACATAAATCATTTCTAAAACCTTTTTTATATAAAACTGTTTAGAATGGAATTCTCTATCTATCTCATTTTCGAGTCAAATTTATCTATCTTTGATACAAAATACTCTTTTTGTTCTTATAATTTTGGCCACTACTGTATTTCTAAGAACATAAATAGAGATGTAAATACAATTGTGTTTATCTTTTCATACTGGCGAGATTTTTCTATATTATATTTTTGAAATAATTTATTTATTTGATTTTAGTAAATGGTAATATTGTAGATCCACAATACAATGCTGTACTACGTTCAGTACTTGAAGAATGTCGTAAAAATAATATGCCAAAAGAAACAATTGATCGATCTATTAAACGAGCTGTAAGACCCATAATGGAATTTTTCTAATGAATTAAATAAAAATATTTAGATTGCCCAAAAAGATAATACAAAACAAGCTATCTATGAATTTGTTGGTCCTGGTCGAGCATTTTGTGTTATTGAAACTATGACCGATAATCCAAAACGTACATATAATTATCTGAATAAAAGTGCTGCTAAAATTGGGTAAAGTTAAATAGGTAACTGCAAAAAAGGATTATTATTTTATTAAAGTATTCCAGAAATAGCGAAAGGTGGACAAATAGCTGAATTTTTTGATCAACGTGGTTATGCATGTATTGAAAAAGCAAATATAACAGAAGAAAAAGCAACTGAATTAGCTATTGAAATAAATGCTGAAGAAGTTATCGAATCAATCGATGATGATGGTGTACGAGAAGTATGGAAAGTAAGAGAAAAAGAATTCAAGTTCTATTTCTTTCTTTCTAAAATTCATATTTTTCAGTTTCTTGGCCCACCAGCATTTTATGGACAAATGAAAGTTAATTTAACTCAACGCGGTCATAATGTAACATGTGATGGTTCAGAATTTATACCGAAAGTGACTGTACCACTGAATGAACGCGATAAAGTATTATTACGACAAATTGTAGCCATGTTTGAAGAGTTAGACTCCGTAGAAGGTGTTCATACTAATGCTGCGTAAAATAAAACTATATTTTTCTGTTTGTTTTGTTTTTGAAAAGAAAAAACAAAAGAAATTATTCAAACAAATTAACATTTTTTTTTTGGCAATTTTTAATATATTTTATATTAAAATTAGAAATTCAGGATTTTGTTGTTTTTGATTGAATGAATTAAACGTACTGGAAGAATTCATTTACTTTTTCTTGTATTTTTGATTAATATAGAATTAGTAATGCAAGAAAAATTTCTTTTTCTATATTTATTTTAAGTAAAATTTCATTATACAGACATTTAAGAATGACTATTTGAACGAATTTTAGTACTATCTGTTCCATCATTTGATGATGATGTAATTGATATTTCAGTAAGTTCAGCAATACAATGTTGTTTATCATCGGATTGATGTTTTGGATTAACACGATTATTTCGTACGAATGAATATAATCCTGATGATGTTTTATTATTATTATTATTGTGTTTTGTATTGGAATTATTTCCATCGTTTAGATTCGTAGTTGAAGAACGATTTGGAGATTTTTTATCAATATAATCAGCTATAGTTTTACGAAATAATGCTATAATATTTTCCGGTGTTGATAATTTTGTTTGAACACGTATTTGACGTCGAAATTGATTGATAATCAATGTACAATCTTCAGCTAAGACATTACGTATTAATTCACTTAATTCCATTTTAATAATATCCGATAAATGATATGTTTCATTTGTTGTTTGAAATAAATTATTATTCGGTGTTAACCATGAATAATCGACTGATGAATGTCGTTTTGTTGTTGTTGGTGGTAAAACATTTAACGATGAATTATATGTTGATAAATATGATCCACCAGTTGAACTATTTAACATATGAGAATTTTGTGATATTGTAGTTAAACAATTTCGACATTGACTTTCAAGTTCATCTAATAAAGTTTCAGCTATTGCATTTCTATCTGTATATGTATACAAAGTTGAATGAGTTTCATTTGATGTTGAATATCGACGAAATAAATTACTAAATGCCATTAGAAATTGTATGTTCTTTTAATAGAAAGACTAATGCGTCATAAAGAACTTATGCGGATATAACTAGATGACGTGAGCAAACATAAATGAAACATCTTTTTTTTTTCTTTGAAGTAGTACTCGTTTTTTTTCTCGTCTTTCTTTTTCTTCTAATTTAACATGTAAAGAATAGATTCCATATAAAAAATGACGAAGAAAAGACTACTATGTAGTTAGTCAAGATGATGAGAAAGGATTTGCGAAAGAAAAAAGAAAAAAATAAGAAGCGCAAGAGATAGATGTGTCAAATATAAATCTCATAAAAGAAAATAAGAAAAGAATTTATTTAGGAAAAGATAATTCTACCGTGATAAAAATTATGTTATGATCTATATATATTATTTAATCAAACGAACTATTTAGAAAATCAATTATACTTAGAAAGATTTATTACATAAGTTTCTTACGGAGACATTTATTTTTAATCAGACATTTATGAATGCATATGACAACTATTAAGATTTATTTCATTATAGTCATAAACAAAAGGAAATTCTAGTCTTTTCAATGCAATTAAAGCTAGGAATATTATGCGAAAAAATTAAAATTTAACAAAAACTTCTACTATCTATTATTTATATTAGTCATAAAATCGAGTTTAGGTTTCATATTTGTTTGCTGAAAAATAAAATATATTGATCTACACGACTATCAGTTTATATCACCACGCAAGTGAACTGTGGAAAATAATTCACTGATTTTTGTGTTTGGAATTAGTGTATATGACAGGAGTATGAGAAACTCTGAAAAAGCAAGTACTGTTATACCTTACCTGAAAAGTTATAAGCGTGTAACTGGAATTTTAGCCTATAGTCTTGTATGCACTAAAGAATGGTATTATATAATAAACTGTTGCCTATAGGTAGAACGCTCAGTAACTAGAATGTGCCGGAAGTTCAAGTAAAAAGTATGTTCTATCATGAGATATTGAGTTCACAAATAAATATGAGGATCTCGATTCTTTCGTAGAATGTGAAAGGTTTTTATGAATTTAATATCTTGTAAATAGAACATTTGTTTGGCCTGAAACTTTCAACAAATTCTAGCTCCTAGCAGACTTGGCTGTAGATCAAAGTTCACCATGATATATTGTCATATAATTCTGTAGGGCATATAATACTTTAACCTAAAATTTGAGTAAAACCTCTATGACTTTGTAGTAAATGTTTAGGAGTATTTGTTCTTTTACAATGTTTAATATCTAAATAGGATCCACTTTATGCATTAGTTACTCATTTTGGATGATTTTCTCGTTGATAATGAGAGTATTTGTATTAAATTTTAGAATATACTGATTAAATCATTTGTTAACTGTTTTTCTTGATCAATACAAATTTTAATTAATATATTTACGATTAATTAATTCTTTTTTATTATCTATCTGATCAAAATCTTTCATCTGAATGATAATATCCATTCTTATCATATTAGTCAATATATAAAAATGATAATCACATTATTAGATTTTCGTTGCTTGAATGCAAGTTATCGATTTGTAATTTTACCTACAGCCGGATTTGAAACTTAAATGAATGCCTTCTTTTTTATATGCCTAATATTCAAAAAAATTCATCCATTCTACCATAGAAACGCTTAGAACCAACTTAAGAACAGTGCACATAACTAGTGGTCGTCAGGGTGAATATCGTTGCACAGTTAATAACTTTCGTATAGTACACAGACATACAAAATTTCGTGTTCGAAAACGAATTTGCACTCTTTAGAAATGATTATATAAGATGGATGTAGATGTGGATATGATGCAAGTGTCTCTAAAAAGAGAGGTGATAATATTTCTGCTCATATACACATTCATTTATCTCTCATCAATATGCATACTCACCTTCGAGATCTAAGTATACTGAATTACTTTCTCGGATATATATATATGTCTATTTTTATTCTGATTTCTAAATTTACTAACTATCGAACTAAAATGTAGATAGCAATGAAATCAAAAGTCATTAGAACTGAGAAATGATGTGTGAATATTTAATGAACAAGTGTTATAGATGGGCGACTGTTTGACAAGTAAACATCTGTTTTAAAGGAGCTAGACAAGTATGTTACAAGCAACTGATTTATATCCATTTAAAATATTCTACCGATTTCGAGATTTATCTACAAACAAAATTTCAGATGAAATAAGTTTAGATTGATTTTAGTCATTCAAATGCATGACATTCTTTTATAACAATCTATAAAATGAATATTAATTGGAAAATTTCTTATTTTATTATACATAGTTATTTGAGCCTTAAATTCATTATCAACCTCCGTAGATAAAAAATAAAATATAAATTCAACAGCTCCACTTTTCTCATTTATACAGTTTAGAAAAAGGATTTAAACTGCTTACATATATTTTTTTTCTTCCTATTAGTAATTTAAGATTCAGATTAAACTTGTACATGAAAATAATAATCTAGCTTTAAAATAAATTTTCAAATGCTTGTTAACATATAATATTTTTTTGCTAGAAATCTATTTTTACAATTTCTAATACAAAACGTAACAATAAGAATTTTTCATTGTCATATCATAATTTCATTTGAATAAAAGCATACAGTGTTGAATATAAATATGTATATCAAACAATCTCAGTTATCGACATGTATAAATACGTGTTAACAGGAAATTGATCCTATTTGGTAGTAATCAAAATGTAATCATTATCTTTTCGTTGATCGAAATGTCAATAAAAAAAATCTTACTTTCTAAAATAGAATAAGAACAATTTTCTCTACATTAAATGATTAACCGAATTAGTAAGTAAATCAATATTGATTTACTTCTATTTTCACGAATAACACCTTTTTATGTAGGTGTAAATTAAAATGAATCATATAATAATTCGTTTATTTTTTTAGAATATTTATTTAATCAACCATTATCATGATCAACAAGTAGTAGTAGTCGTTCATCAAATATAAACACAACACTGAACTTTGATCATTAGCGATGGAAACATATCAATCGGATTAGACATGTTTGCTAACAAGCTTTTGAACATTTCATACTGAACTGTTTTGTTTGAATAGAAAAGTTATTCAGTTGACTTTTGGAACGTTCGAAAAAAAAGAAGAATGATAGAAATTGTTCGTTGATGAGAATTATTCTTATACCGTTAAAATAATCATTTATCTTTAAATCTATTTCTTTTAAGAAATTTGACAATGCTATTCGAGATCAACTATCTTAGATGAAAAAGACGTATCTAAAAGTGTGACCGATTTGCTCAGCATGTTCGAATTTGTTAAAAAAAAGAAGAAGAAGAAGAAATTTTCTTTTTCTTTCTCGCTTTTTCTATTGATTGATACAGAAAGAAATTTGATCTTCAATGACGCAAGCATATATGCATACGCGTGCATCAAGTAAGATAAACTTATAACAATGTTTGTATCGATCATCGACTGCTAAAGCTCAGTCTCATTCCAAGAATAACAAAACAAAACACTATGTGGGCTTTTTTTTTCTTCATCTTCGTCCATCAGTTACGATCCAATTTCAACTGATCATCATCACGCAAGTCCTTTTATTCATACACTTAACACGCTAAAGGTACATCTCATATTTCAAGTTCTTGTCTCTCTCTCTCACTTATGCATACATAAACTACTTAATCTTAATATTGACATATCGTGCTTACTCATTTCTATATTATTAAACAAAAGAAACGTTTTTTTTTCTCCTGTATATCTGATCTTTTAAGAAAAAGAAAAAAAAAACGCGCAGAAAAAAAAATTAAAGTGAATGATAATCTCTTATAATAGTTGCTGATCGCGAATCAATCATGTCCGTTGATGATTTAATTGGATGATGATGTTGATAATGTTGTTGTTGTTGTTGCTGTTGTACATGAGGAAAACAATTCGGAAAATCGATATGAAAATGTTCATTTGTATTTAAATTTGTTGTTAAACCTAATGGTGCTCGTGTTGTTGGTTCACTATTTGTTGATCCAAGATCATCTAATGAATTCTCACCATTATGTGAAGGACTTATATCAATCGTTTTTCTAAAAAAAGAAAATAAGACAAAAATAATATAGATTCATTTTTCTACACCTACGTGAAATCTTTTCTTCTTATCAGCATGAAATATTATCAAAAGAAATATGCGTAACTCTGATCTTCTCTCAAAGAAGAGACATTGTTTGTTATTCTCTTCAATTAGCAAGTCTTTTCTCAATATAAAAAAAATAATCAATGTCAATCAAACACACACGCACACACACACACACATATATAGAAAAACTTTTGTTTATATACACATCTGTTATTCATTAAAAAGAAAATACAACAACTTGCCTATCATTTGTTTCTGATGCTCGATCACGTTGTCGTCGATTTTTAAACCAATTTGATACTTGTGTTGTTGTTAAACTAGTTGTTTCAGCTAATTCACGTTTTTCTCTTGGTGACGGATAAGGATTATGTAGATACCAATCACGTAAAGTATTACGTGATCTTTCTTTAAAACAATAACTTGTCTCTTCTCCATCCCATATGGTACGTGGTAAAGGAAATTTTCGTCGTACACGATATTTACCAACAGCACCTAATGGTCTTCCACGTAGTTTTTCCGCTTCATTATAATGTGCTTGTAACCACAATTGTTGTAATTGTGGATGACTACATGGTGCAAATTGATAACGTTCTAAAATATGATAAAGTTCACGATAGTTTCCTCGACGAAATGCAACAACTGCTTTTGCTTTTACAACACTTTCATGATTATGAAAATGTTCACATGTTGGTAATGTCCATAAAAAATCACCTGAAGAATAAAAAACACCAAACACTTGTTATTCTATATTTTGTAGTTTAAAAGAAATTTACCGAGCCGTTGAATATCATTACTTTGTTGAAGTACTTCACATACACAGGCAACTTGTTCTGGAGTAAAAATACTACCTATTGTGTTGCTTGTTGGTGGTGTATTGATGTTAGTGAAACCAGCGGTCGTCGTTGTTGGTATCGGATTGCTTTCGAGCATTAGAAAAGAACTAAAAGAAAGAACAAAAAAAAAAGATAATCGGATCCACTCTTCTTTTTGTTTTTTTGTGTAATAGTAATAGACACCAATCGATAGATGAAATAAATGTGATAGAGAGAGAACGAAATAAATGATTAATTCTTCTTTTCTCACGTATTCAATTTTAAATCAAAGGCAACACAACGAACGATAGACGAATTGAAGCACGAAAAGAAGAAAAAATCAAATCGATTCTTCTATATATAGATAGATGAATCAATGGTATAGTACTACTCAATTAAATATATGTGTATCGTCTTCAATTTCTTCTATTGATACTCATCATGTTCGATGGAAATAGGATCGAGTTTTTAATCGCATTACAACAACAACATACACATTCAGCTATGATGATCAGCCCTATTTCTCTCTCTCTCCCTCTCTCTCTCTTTCGGTCGACTTGATGGATTAAGTGGCGGACTGTGAGAATGTATACGAACGATACTCTCTCTCTCTCCCGCTCTCTCTCCCGCTCTCTCTTTCTCTTTTTCTCTCAGCGGTAATATTGGTAGTGAGGCCGACAATAATTTTGTCTCTCTCTCTAACTCTTTCTTGATTTTTTTCTTCTTCCTCGTCTATATATTGTTGTTATTGTTATTTGGCAAAAGAAAAAAAGATGATTTGCTGCAAGTCATTTTTCTTTTCTCGCTTTCGCTCTCTCTTTCTTTCCGACGACAAATTTATGGGTGAATATGTTGAACGATAGGCGACATTAATATATGATGACAAATATGAACCAATCGGTGTATAGGAATCAGAAAAAAAGGAGAAAAGAAGAAAATTTCCTTTTTTTTATGTATATGTATATTCTTGGCATGAAACAAGTGGATCTAACGACTACACATTATGAATATAATGGTGGTAATATCAACATCGATATTTCTTTCTTTCTTTTTCTTTCTCTTTTTTATTCGCCTTGATATCTATGTGTATATGCACCGATCATCATATATATATATATATATATACAACATACACTATCGCAGTGAAAAGAAGATAATTGACAGTAAACAGCTGTGCTTTATGTGTGTACACATAGATATATATAAAGAACATATTCTTGTCTATCATCATCAAGAGTCAGTGCTATACTTGGTTCATGATGCCATCATTTTCTGAGAAGAATAGTGTATATATATGCATGCATATGTATAACGACGACATTCTCTCTCATAGTTTTTTTCTTCTCATACACGCCAACACACATTTTGAAAGACGCATGACTCTTCTCAAATTTCAAAAAAGCAAATTTGCTTTCTTCTTCTATACGCGACAGCTGTTGGACAAATGGCAAAATTAGAGATGCTTGTCGTTGCCGTTTATGCATTTCCATTCGATCAAGATGCGACAAGAGCATTAAATATATACAATATCAAATAAAAAGAATGTTGATGTGACATGCGCGATTGGTGACAACTTTTTTTTCTTTTATAAAAGAAATTGTATGAAATTTTTTATGATTGGTGGAAATTTAACTAAAAAAAACGACGTAGAAACTTTTCGTTTATACTATTAATAGAAATCTGTTAGGATGAAACAGACAATTCCGATCAAAACTAAAGAAATTCTATATAAAACTGACGTTCAAAGATAAATAGCTGTTTTTTTAAAAATTAAACAGAGAAGAATGATTATTAGCTTTATCCATCTACATTCTTGTGATTATTGATGTTATTATTAACATATTTCGGAAAGAGTTACAGCATCATTGATCATGTTCTTATCAAGTTAAATAGTTTTTAATAAATAATTAAGATTATATTCAGCAATCAACTATAATCTATATTTCATATATAGATTAGACTATCTTTAGATTTCTTTGAATTCAACTCTTAAACTAATTTCCATGAAAATATCTTCAAATATATGCACTAGGTTAATATATCAAATAACAGTTCTATGTATAAAATTTCACGTTATTTGATGTTTCAATCAGGTTGTAGTAATTAAATTTTTCTATTTATAAATATGATTATTTTAAGATATATTAAATTGTTTATTTATTGAATACATTCTATCTACAATTTTGTTCATTTCTCAACACTACAGGTCAGACACACCGGTGCATAAATAAGAAGAAAAAAAAACAAAATCATTATTTTGATCTATTTGTTTTGAACTTGTTGCATTGGCTTGACAGTATCAGAAATCTAAAAATGAAAAATTTTTTTAATAAAAAATAATAATCGAATAGTTTTTTCTATTTACAATAATTGGACAACCAGTAAATTTAATAATATCATCTTTTGTATATCCATCAGCAATTTCAGTTAAAATTAATCCTTTTTCTGGATTTACTTCAAAAACACATTTTTCTGTTATAATTAAATCAACAACAGATTTGCCTGTTAATGGTAATGTACATTCTGGAAGGATTTTTGATGAACCATCCTAATAAAGTATGTTATTATTATTAGTATTATTAAGGAAATATTTTACTTTTGCATTATGCTCCATTGTAACAACAACTTTTGTTCGACCACTACCAACTAAATCCATTGCGCCACCCATTCCTTTGATTAATTTTCCTGGTATCATCCAATTAGCTAAATCACCATATTGAGAAACTTGCATTGCGCCGAGCATTGTTAAATCAATATGACCACCGCGAATCATAGCAAATGAATCATCACTTGAAAAGAATGAAGCTCCAGGGAGTACAGTGACGGTTTCTTTACCAGCATTGATTAAATCTGGATCTTCTTCTCCTTCATATGGAAATGGACCCTAAATAAAGAAAAATTGATTTTTAATCTTTATTCTCATTATTGACTTACTAAACCTAAAATACCATTTTCACTTTGTAAATGTACTGTTAAACCATTTGGAATAAAATTTGAAGCCAACATAGGAATACCTACAAATAATTTGTTAATCTATCATTCAATGATTAGATTTACCTATTCCTAAATTAGCATACATTCCATCAGTAAATTCTAGAGCAGCTCGTCGGATAATACGTTCTCTTGCAGCATCATCTTTTTTCTTTTTCGAACCACCTGGTTGTCCTCCAGCTGATAATGAATCTCGTTTACGTACAGTTCGACGCTAAAGACAAACAAATCTTTCTCATCTATCGTATTTTTTTATTAAAAAGATATTTCACCTCAATACGTTTTTCATATTGATTTCCTTTGATAATTCGATGTACAAATATATTTGGAATATGAATTTCATCTGGTTTTAAATCACCAACTTCAACAATTTCTTCAACTTCAACAATCGTACATTTAGCTGCTTTACACATTGTAGAATTAAAATTTCGTGCAGATTTTCTAATTTATTCACAAAAACAAGTTTTTCATAAGTCGAAATTTATTATATTTTTATCTTACTGAAATATAAGATTTCCAAGACGATCGGCTTTCCATGCTTTAACAAGAGCAAAATCACCAACAATAGCATCTTCTAATACATATTGTCGATCATTATAAATACGAATCTATATTGTATTTTCATTAGATATGTCTATTATATAATTGATTCATTACTTCTTTTAATGGACTTTCAATAATTGGTTTTCTTGAAGTCTTATCATATTTAATTGGTGCACCACCTTGTTGAATCAATGTACCAAAACCAGTTGGAGTGAAGAATGCTGGAATTCCGGCACCACCAGCGCGAATCTTTTCTGCTAATGTTCCCTAATATAGTTAAAAAAAAAAGAAAGGTCGTCTAACAAAACAAAAGAATTCTTTCATACCTGTGGGGTTAATTCTACTTCAAGTTCTCCATCTACAAACAAACGCAAAAAGGGAAAACTAATAAGCAGAAAAAATCTTTTAATAAACTATACTTAAGTATTGTCGTTCAAATTCTGCATTTTCACCAACATATGACGAAATCATACGCTTAATCTTTAGAAATAAAAATTAGAACGTACGAAGATATATTGAACAAAACAAACTTGTTTTGTTTTTAAAAGTAAACCAAGACCAAAATCATCAACACCACAATTATTTGAAACAACTATTAAATCTTTTTGACCAGTTTTAAGTAATGCTTTGATTAAATTTTCTGGAATACCACATAATCCAAATCCTAAATATAATATTATTATTTAAAAGAAGAGAAGAACAAAGAATCTTTTTACCTCCAACAAGTAATTTAGCACCATGTGGAATATCTTGTACAGCTTCATGAAAATCTTCGTAGATTTTTTTCTGACTTGTTGATGTTTTTGAGAGACTTCGTATTGAATACTTAAAAGAAAACAAAGAATATAGAGAATTTTGATTATTTTATATATACCGAATATAATGTAGATCGTATAAATGAAGATGTTACTCTTGTTAACATGATCTAACTTTAAATAAAAAAAAATGAAATAATTTAAAATATGTTTTCTTATTTATTTTAGCAATAAAAAAAGAATCTTATATATACACATCCACACAGATATTTATTTTGTCTTCTGTTTTTCTTTTGTCGAAGAAATTTTTAAATAAATGTGTGCATATATATGTTAAATAGATAGTTTTGTCTTAGGATTAAATTGTTTTGCCTATAGAGTATAGAAGTTTTAAACATGTCCAAGATAAAGATAAAACAAACAGAAAAAGAAAAATAATAACTATAGAAATAATAATCACTGTGTTTCAAGAGAAGAAGAAGAAAAACAACAACAACAACAACAACAACAACAATAATAATAATAATAATAGGATTAAAATTTGCACAGTGATACAATTAGTACGGAATGTATTTATGTGAACAGACTGAGTTTAAGAAAGGAATGATAAGATCTTATGAATTCGTATTAGTTGATACACTGTTCACATGAAATACACGACCAACACGAAGTAGAAATTCTCGTAATATATAACGTAATTCAGGTTTTAAATCAAATACAACTGCTTCAGCTGCATATGTATAGATTTCAGCTGAAAAATATTTGAACTAAAAAAAACAAGAAGAAAAAGAATTAAAAACAACAGAATCGTTATTTTTTTTTATAAATTTTACTCGTTCTTCGTTTAATTTAAGAAATTTGGTAAATATTAAAATAAGTACATTTGTCCACGCGTCACGATGACTTTCAGATTGTAATGCAACATAATATTCCAAGCTATCACGTGCCAATCTATAAATTAAATCAAGATTTTTTCAAACAACTTTACCAAAGAAATATATTATATGAATTTATAATTAATTATGACGATGCATGTTTTATTGTAAGTAAAATAGATCGATCGCTAAGTCATGCTATCAGTGTTTTATCTAGATTTCGCTTTTCGGATGGGCGGCATTCATCCAGCGCCCATCCGGACTAGTGGCGTAACCAGGAATTTAAGAATGATGGAGCTCAGTCCCAAAACTGTCTAGTCTTTTGGATTTTTTGATTGACAAGTTCAGTAAATAAAAAGTCCAGGTGATGAGGCTTAAACACTGTGATGGGGTAAAGCTCCATCTGACCCTAGTGTGGTTACGCCACTAATCCGGACCATCTCTAGATATACAGCTAGTGTATTTTCTTGGGTGGGCAGATCGAATATTAAGGTGAGCGGCGCACACCCACTGGATAAAACACTACATGCTATTTCTAATCGACTCTAGCGTTCTGACAAATAACTACCAAGTATTATACTTGTCAATCTTAAATATATTATGAGAATCTTTAATTTAATACTACATACTTGAGAATTCGTCGTTTAAGTATATCAGTTGAGTTATTTCTATCTGGATCAGAATATAATCGAAAAAGAATGCGAATTGCACATGCAATACTATGAGTTTCTTGTGATAATAGATTTGGTTTTGCTTTTCCTCGATATCCTAAAAACAAATATATATATTATCTAATAGAAAATCAAATTATAAATTTTACCAGCTTTCCATAAAAGATTTCTTTGTTCATGATTAGAATTAAATGTTCGAGCAAACATATGTGATTCAATAAGGCAATCAATTAAAAGTAATAATTGATCAATATGCATATTATTATACATTCCATTATTATCATGTGATTCATCTGATTGAGAAAAATGTGTTAAATTCTGTTGTCCCGATGGTGTATTTGCCAAAGCCTAAAATAAATTTATTAAAAATACAGTTCTTGTACGATTAATTTAAATAAAAAGAGCAAACATGCATATAAAACCCATATCCCCAGAATTATTATTAAATACCTTAGTTTGAAACCAAGTTAATTTCTAGACGAATATGTTAATTAGTTAGCGAGCAGTTTAGTATTGAAAATATTTTAGCAAAATTCTTCTATGTAACTTACATGTGCAATTGCTATATTTTGTAAATCTTCTTTTTTGCTTGTTGATGGATAAAAAATAATATTATCGATTGTTTGTATAAGTTCTAATTGTACAATACATTTGATTGTTATTATTTGAAAAAGACGAAAATCTGATTGATTTTCTAATTCAAAAAAAAAAGGAAAGAATTAATTTAAGTTTTTAAGAATTAGTTTTCTCATACTTGGTCGTTCGGTACTATTAGCATGTGATAGTCGATTATTTGAATTTAATTCTTGATGATCCGATGTACCACTATTTACACTAGCTACACTACCAGCTCGTGCCATACGATGATGTTGATTTGCAGCAGATTCAACAGCAGCATAATCAAATGAACTATCTGTTCGATCAAGTAACTAATCGAAAAGATATTATATAATTTTAAAAGAATAAATAAGATGTATTTATATATATTTACACTTGTTTCATTGATAGTTGTCATTCCAGACGATTCAGCATCGGGTCGCCATGTCATTAGACTAGAATAGAAGTTTTATATTTAATCTATATATCATACATTCTAAAGAAAATCTATTTTATTGTCTCGATAGTAACACATTTAATAAGTCCTATATCGATATATTCATTTTATATTCTAGATAGAAAGAACTTACGATTCAGGTAATGTTGAACGAAAAATTTCTAATATACAAGCACATGTTCTTTCCCAAATAAGTGGATTAAAACGTTGTCCACAAGAGATAACAAAATTTTCTAAACAATTTGTTCCTGATTTTGCTAAGATTTCATTATCTACAAAATATTGAAATAATTATTAATTTTACTGATTTTTCAATGCATTTCATTACCTTGATTAACACACCATTTCAATTGTAAATAAAGGTCGTTTACAAGAGGTTCCGAGATTTCATCATAAAATTGTGTAAATACATCAACAATTGCATATAAAGCATGATTACATGTTGTTGTCATCCATTCAATTTTCTTCAGAAATAAATGAAGTTATTAAAACGAATAAAAATATTCAAAAAATGTTACTTCAATTTGTGTATCGGGTAATTTCATATTATCAAATATACGAAAAACAACATTGAATAATTCTCTCCACCAATTTTGACTGAATGTTTCACCATAATTTTTCATTATTTCAAACATAACTGTCAATGCTCTAGAGAAAATAAAAGTAATGTATTAATACATGAGATTATGCTAAGAAAAATAAATCTAACAAGGAAATATATTCAAATATTTCCACTATGAGTGTTACTCATGATAAATTCGAAAAACCTTAAACAAACTCATAGCATATTAATTGCAAGTTGTCAATAGAAAAATTGAACCCTACAAAAGGTAGCTCTGATGTTTTTAGAATACTTTAAGAGATTCTCTTCTCTATATACTAGATTTTAGCTATTTGTTACATAAATCTGCTTCACGCTAATATTCGATACGTCGAGTAATGATTAATCCTCTGATCTAAATTTTCCAACTGAATCAGTAAGGCATTAACTCAATTTTCTATACAATCACAGATGAAGATCTCCCAATTTATGTTGTTTCAGTGGCCATATATTCAATCTTTTCAAATTATATTTCTTAATTAATAAACTTAATTTACCTTGTTCTAACATCAAGTTTACATCGATTAATAATACATGATAATTCGAATAAAACTGGAAACCATCCTTTAACCCAAACTCGATCTTCTTCCGGTACATTAATTAAATCTTCTGCAGCATGCTCACGAAAAACCTATAATAGAAAAAAAAATATTCGAAATTCATTTTTAAATAAATTATTAATACATGTGGTTTTTCTGCTACATATTTCGCACATTGTCGAATTAATCTTATTGCTTCCATTGATGTGTCAGGAAATGAAGCATTACATGCAAATTCAGATAAACATTTTACTACGTCTTGAAAACTATCAAGTACTGTTGAAAATTGACGATCAAATACAACAGCTAAAGATATTTCAAAAAAAAGAAAAAGAGAAATATTTTCTTAATTTATTGTTTCTATTCTTACCAACAATATGTGTACATGTTTGAAAAGCTAATTCAACAATTTGTGCATCAGTATCAGCTGCAGCCATTTGAAATACACTAAAAATATTTTTCCAACCCGATCGAATATTTTTTGCTTGAGAATCAACAAAATGTGTTACACAACGAACAACCATATCACGTATAGTTGATGAACTATTAATAAAACAAAACAGAAAATATTTTATCCGTTTCTTTTTAAAAAATAACATACGAATTTTTTTTCATAATCACTTCAAATGGTTTAAGAAAATCTTTTTGAAAACGAAAATTTGGAAATTCGCCTTTCTCAAGAAATTTCATTGATAATTGTCGTAATGAATCAACAGCAAAAAATGCTACATCTGGTAATGAATTACATGCAACCTAAACAAAAACGAATTTTTTCATTCCATAAATCAAATAAATCAATTCATACTTTATTAAAATGATCACCAATAATCTCCCAAATTCTCGACCATTGAAGACGAATACGGCCCATATTATAATATGATATTTCCACTACTTTCAATAAACTAAACATTCGCGGAGAATTTGAATATAATTCATCCATTGATACATGACATAAACTACGAACAAATGCAACTAAAACAAAAAATGAAAATATAGATAAATCGACAAGTAATAAGAATTTATTACCAATAGCATCACCATCAAGTCGTGCCGAACCGGAAAAAATACGATCAACAGAAACAACAATACTCTGAGAACTTGTTTCATGTATTTGATCTTGTATTGATTGCATACGTTTTGTTAATTGTCCTATATATCATAAAGTAAATCATTAAATACGAATAAGAATCACTATTAATATAAAATAGTGTTGATAAGATGATTTAAGATCTGTTTCACTCTATCATATTAAGAAAGGGGGCATCAAGTCTTATCCTCGGTAGGCCCTTTAAACAGTTGATATGCTGAATCAATTAATTTCGCAGTAACATCTTTTATCTCAATATCGAAAAAATCCTTTTCATTTCAATTTAATTTAAGAATATATATAACAAACAAATGAAACTTTTCTAACCCTTATCTGAATA